CTCTGTGTAAGCGTGGTTCTCAGGGCTGCGAAGGTCGGCCTCTGCTCCCGCGTCAGCTACCGGAACATCTGGCCTGCTTCCCAAGGACTCAATCGCTTTTTAAAAAGCTGCGAACGTTAGTTGTTAAGTGCATTAGCGAGGAACATTATTCACACAGATAAGACAGAACTATTAGCCTTATTCCTTCAGGAAACTAGGAGAATGGGGATATAACTTGGCTGATATTTCGGCAACATGCCTTTATCAAAACAAAAGCAGAAGTGAATTCACTCCTGCTTTTGTTTCGATAAAGGTATGTTGCCGCAGAAAAAGCAGAAGTGAATCCATTCCTGCTTTTGTTTCGATAAAGGTATGTTGCCGCAGAAAAAGCGAAAGTGAATTCGCTCCTGCTTTTGTGTCGATAAAGGCACGTTGCCGAAATATCAACCCAACTATATTTCCATTCTCGCGGTTTTCCGAAGAATAAGGCTAATACTACTGTCTTATCTAGGCTGCGAACGGTCGCGATCCGCTGACGGCGAAGGGACATCAAAACAGTAGGGCATTGGCGTGAATGTCTTTATTTCAAAATCAACAAATGACAACAGACGGGTTAACGCACATGCCAATACGGATTCATCACAAGTGTATAGACAAACAGAGCCAGCACAACAGCAGCCGTCCCCCTACTGACGAGATCGCTGCGTCGTCCCAGACATGCCGATCGCTCTGGCCCACAGTCGTCCGCGCCAGGACACCGTCGGCACTGACGCAGTGCTGCTCTCAGAAATACGCACAGCACTTGGTGTTATTCTACTCCACTCGCCGGGCGGAAGTATGGGACACGGGCGTGTTATGCTGTGTTAATGGCTGGCCCACTTGGGGCTTGATCACTGCCACCTATAGGCCTACATGCACCAACCAACCGATTTTGTACACAAAACAGACCATTTTATCTGTGTGGGCATAATGCGTGCGTTGACACGCCTATGCCACTTTCAAACAAAGTGGGTCAAGTCGCTCCAAAAGCGGCTCCCTATGTTTGAACAGAGGCGAAAGAGGACGCGACGTTCCTAAAAATAGTACGCCGACATACAGACACGCGATAGCCTGAACTAAAAAACAAACAAAATTGTCTCACATCTTACCTTTAAAGCACAGCTGTACGATTATCAGATTATCATCCTGTCTGACCGTGTCAACCGCATTGCCCTGACCTTTAACCGTCAGCTGCCAACGGAACGCTCCCCTCCCCAACCCCACCCCTCCCACCCATGACGTCACAGTCACATCGCGCATCGTTTGTTGGCTTAAGGCCGGCGTCGGCCAGCCTCAGACAGGCAGAACCCGCCGGATGCCCGGCACAAGCTCGCTGTGGATGCACGCGCGTCCTGGCCAGCTACCGGACCCGTCACCCCCTGGGCCCAGTCTCAGCCGCGCGCCGGCGTCCGTCGCCGGACAGCAGCGCGCGAGACCGACTCACGCCCGCCGGGCCGCCGCCTGACCGCGTCGGACGCGAGCACGCGTCGCTTGCGAGCCGGTGCCAACCGCTGACCGGTGTCGGTTCACTACAAACCGAAGGCAACGGCGGTGGGGCGCGACCCGGCAGCGCGCAGCTCTGCCAGCCGGTGACACGGCTGGTGCCGGGGAAGCCGACCCTCCGACCCGCTTCGATGATACGACCCGTGCAGGGGAAGCCGACCTTCGGACCAGCCTCATCGCAGCAGGCCGCTGCGAAGCGGGGACAGGGCGACGAGCCCAGCCTCTTGGCAGCGGACGGCGAATCATGTTCGCCCGGGGTGCGGTGGGTGGTATTTGTCTCTGAGGGCAGGAGAACAACGTGTTGGACGACAGACACGTACAGGCACGAGACACGCACGCTCACATAACCTCGAACAGTTGACTGAGCAACAGGCGGCTTTTTACTGTTTATTCATGTCTCAACACCTTACGTCACTGGGTACCAGCCCTGCCCGTGCAACTCGTCAGCTTTTATTTGTTCCCCATCCGCAGAGTAATAGAGCCTTCAATACTGGGGGAGAGACGCAACTGCGCGTTGTCTCGCACATTCCTTCCAAGTTTCGAACCAGTTGCGCCCGGCCAGCGCCCTGTCTTCCATCGCGCATTGCACTGATGCAGGCCGGTTCCTGCACCCCGTGGGAAAACCGCGGAATCCCCATTCCTCCGCCTCGTCCCGGGCTCTTGAGCTATCAGCGCAGCTGGACTGGGTGTCGGCTCCCAGATGTCAGGAGGGTGCCTGGCCGTGGCCAGATCGCAGGGTCAGTGACAGGGTCAGGGGTCAGCTACCTGGCCAGAGGACGGGCCGCGGTCAGAACTGATTGTCAAACGTTGGCCGCCAGAAGTACTCGGCCGGCTCTGGAACAGACGGACGCCGGCCAGCTGGGTTAGTCGAGTGGCACAGCAGACGTGCGGCACAGCACAGTCGAGCGGCACAGCACAGATGCGCGGCACAGCACACCAACACGCCGCGGCACAGCTCGGCGCAGCTCGGCGCGGCACAGCACAGCAAGCATGCACGGACAACACATAAAAAAAACAGCACAGGGCAAACAAGTAATCTGGAAATTGTGAAAACAGCGGGAAAAGAAGCAGAAACACGATCAAATCAACATGTTAAGGCATGGGTGACCGCAAAAGCCTACTTATTCTACCAAACAGTGTCATAAAATTGTTTAAAGTCTCTTCCACAAAAACGTTTCTGTAAAGCTCAGTGCGGGATACCATCACCCTTTTACAGCAATATTCAATGGTTGATTCTCGCAATTCTGTGCGAAAGCTCTTCAGATCACATAAAAAACCTCAAAAGAAAAAAAACACACGCATGCCTTACGGTTCATGATATTGAGTGAACTCGCGGCGAATAATACAAGAAGGTGATTACGGTAAAACAAATACATCTCGTCCAGGAGCCATACACAATTACAATAAAATGTATGAGCGTTGAGAGGGAGCATCAAGGATAAACAATATATGAAGAAGCCAACGCGTTATGCAACACTGCAGCGGTTTGTCCCGTTTTTGGCAAGAGCGGGCTGTTGGGCTGTATGCCGGTTTGTCCGCGAGCCCACCACGCAAAATCGGATTAGAAGTAGCGTCAAAGGGGGCCACATACATCAAGCGCCACACTTATGACGGTCACACGTACATATCAGCCTACTGATCGCCCTTCGGCACTATCTTGAATGTCACGGAGGCCACGCGTGCTGCAACAGAGGCGACCATGGCACACGTTGATACCAGGGCATCTTAGTAGAACCGACCATAATCGTCAAGTTCCACGCGATCTTTATGCGGCCACACACCCGTCGCTCTAAGGTCCATAGCATCGCTTCACCAGTCGTCACCGAACTATGTGGCAAATCGAGGCAGTGCACCGCCAGGGTACCTGCACAACGCCACCGTAATCCCTCACTCTTTCTACGGGTTGCGCGGGGATGCAAGCTCACTTTTCGGTGTGGACGTTTTCTTGACCATGGTTTTGGTTTTGGTGGTGGCGGCGGCGGGCGCGTCGTCCTCGTGTTGGCTGCCGCTGTCCGAGCTCTCCGCCGCCGGCTGCGAGCCGAAGGACGAGTGCCTGCGCGCAGACAGGTCCGGTCACTCGGGCAGACGGTCCGGTCACTCGGGCAGACGGTCCGGTCACTCGGGCGGACAGGTCCGGTCACTCGGGCAGACAGGTCCGGTCACTCGGGCAGACAGGTGCGGCCACTCGAGCAGAACGGACCGGCCACTCGGGCAGACAAGTCCGGCCGCTCGTGCAGACGGGTCCGGTCACACGGGCAGACGGGTCTGGTCACTCGGGCAGACAGGTGCGGTCACTCGGGTAAACGGGTCCTGTCACTCTGGCTTATCAGTCTCCAAGGCAGCGTGGCATGTGTGGCACGAAAAAGGCACGTTGCTGCTGTAGTGATGGTAACTGCCTGGAGGGTTCCACTAGTATGACCAGAGGCGCCAAAAGGGCTCCACCATTGCGACGCGGGGTGCAGAATAGCCCCAGGTTGACAAAGGGTGCTTTGCAATAGTGATGCGATCTGTACAATTTTGCACTCCCTGAGATGTCCTATATGCCTAGGAAATCAGTAGTGATGCATGTCTAAGCACCATAGCAGCCTCGGAATGTCAACTAGTTGACTTATACTTTCTCATTCTGTGCATTAAGCACCGAGTGCCCACCCCATTCAAATCGTTTTGCTCGTAACAAATACACTGCCCCATACCCAACAACGCCAAGACCGCACCAGTTGACGCCAAGGGCAGCTCAGCTGACGCCAAGGACAGCTCAGCTAACGCCAAGGCCGGCTCAGCTGACGCCAAGGACGGCTCAGCCGACGTCAAGGACGGCTCAGCTGACGCCAAGGACGGCTCAGCTAACGCCAAGGCCGGCTCAGCTGACGCCAAGGACGGCTCAGCTGACGCCAAGGACGGCTCAGCTGACGTCTCACCTGGCGAAGGGCGGCTGGTCGAACAGCGAGCCGCGTGGGAAGGTCATAGGCTTGTCGAACAACGACCTGACCTGACCGTGCACGCCCCAGAGGCCTGGCAGCCGCTGACGAGGCGAGCCAGGCTGGTTCAGCCGCAGAGGGTCGCTTAGCAGCAGCGAACGCTGCAACAAGACGGCATAGTACCGGGTCAGCATGGGACGGCGCCGGGTCAGCACGGCACTGCGCCGGATCAGCACAGCAAGGCGCCGGGTCGGCATGAGACGGCGTCGGATCAGCACGGTACCGGCGCGGCTACACCGGCACTTAAGAGGCTGGCAGCAGCGGGCTAACGAAGCTGGAAGCTGGAAGGAAGCTGTTCCTGCGAAGCTTTGCGGGATATCGTCACGGAGCGGCGAGGTCAGGCGCAGTGATCCGATCAACACGCCTGCGATAGCAAGAGACATTCACCGACGGTACCATGACATTCAAGGATCCTGCAACCGTGCAGTGTGCACAAAACACAGTACGCTTCCTCTGAAGGCGTTTCTTGAACATCAATCTTGTAAGCACTGATACTGGTTCCTACAGCTCTCCACAAGCCATCCAAGCTCCTTCGCCATCACCTACCGGGCTCGATTTTCTCACCTTAGCGGGCGAGTCCTCCATGTCCATCCGCTTGTTGAGGTTCTTGACGCGATCCATCAGAGAACCGAACAGCGACTCGGCAGTGAAGATCTCGAACTGGTCATCCTCGTCGTCGTCTTCGCCGCCCGAGCTCAGGCTGTCCGACGAGGGCGCCATCTTGGGCCGAGACAGCCTGCCGACGCAAACGAGGCAACGCCGATCTCGCGTAAGCGCTTCCCCGGGGCCGCCAAACGAAAACGGAAGAAAACGTGCGCTGACGTCAGAAGTCCGTCCATTCAACCATAGTATGACACCCGTGCGTGGTTAGCCGTACTTACATGAATAATTTTGATATGATATCCACTTATACAATAGATACGTCCGTCCATTCAACCATAGTATGACACCCGTGCGTGGTTAGCCGTACTTACATGAATAATTTTGATATGATATCCACTTATACAATAGATACGTCCGTCCATTCAACCATAGTATGACACCCGTGCGTGGTTAGCCGTACTTACATGAATAATTTTGATATGATATCCACTTATACAATAGATACGTCCGTCCATTCAACCATAGTATGACACCCGTGCGTGGCTAGCCGTACTTACATGAATAATTTTGATATGATATCCACTTATACAATAGATACGTCCGTCCATTCAACCATAGTATGACACCCGTGCGTGGCTAGCCGTACTTACATGAATAATTTTGATGTGGTATTACTTATACAATAGATACGTCCGTCCATTCAACCATAGTATGACACCCGTGCGTGGCTAGCCGTACTTACATGAATAATTTTGATGTGGTATCTACTTATACAATAGATACGTCCGTCCATTCAACCATAGTATGACACCCGTGCGTGGCTAGCCGTACTTACATGAATAATTTTGATGTGGTATCTACTTATACAATAGATACGTCCGTCCATTCAACCATAGTATGACACCCGTGCGTGGCTAGCCGTACTTACATGAATAATTTTGATGTGGTATCTACTTATACAATAGATACGTCCGTCCATTCAACCATAGTATGACACCCGTGCGTGGCTAGCCGTACTTACATGAATAATTTTGATATGATATCCACTTATACAATAGATACGTCCGTCCATTCAACCATAGTATGACACCCGTGCGTGGCTAGCCGTACTTACATGAATAATTTTGATGTGGTATCTACTTATACAATAGATACGTCCGTGTATTCGTTCGGTGTCTTATTCCAACTTTCGTGGCCATGACATACCGCGCTGACGGATACCTACGATCGTTCGGGACTCGTCATCTTGCACTCGCCCGGAGAGCCCTTCGTCGGCGGACATTACCTGCTGCTGGCGATGGGCCAGCCGACCAGGTCAGGCAGCGGTCTGTCATCGAAGCAGCGCATGGAAGTGAGCCTCTGCAGGCCCCAGGGGGCGCCCCAGACGTCCTCCCTGGCGGCCCGGTCTCCCAGCAGGCTTCTGCCAGTCCCCGCCAGGCGGCAGCACCGTTAGTCACAGACGCGGCGGCCGCGTTCGCGCGGGCGGCGGGCCCGTCCCCGCGCCGCCAACCAGGAGGCAAGGTCTCGCACGTTCGGAGAATGAGGTTCAAGCCGTTTACCAACTGCCAGTTAGATGCGGTCGACAGCATCAGTTCACATACCGACTGGCCCGATAGCTTTTGAGAAACGTGGGACCTGTTCTGGTTGGCGAGGCGGAAGCGGAACCACCAGCACGACAACTGATAGGCAGGAATCACACAAAACTGGGAATAAAACCTCGCAAAAAGGGGCTCGTCAAACGCATGCAGATCATGGACGATCATCAAAAGCAATAGTGACGCAGAGGGACGAAACAGGAGCATCCTGGTAGTGCCATGCAGCAGAAGTATCATGCCTAATTTTATCACAATCAGTCGGACAACGCAACGATTGATTTGCATCATGCTGTCGTTGGGATATTGATATACAGGCTTCGATAAATCCAACACCAACATCCTATGACGCATTTTGCGTGGTATGGTTCAAGAAACCGACTCAACAGACAGGAGAAAAAGGATATCTGAATGGGGTCAAGATACCAGCTGCTGTTCTTTGTCACTGACATCCCGCCCCTCCACAAAGGACAGACTGACTAGCAATCCTGATCTAGCTTACGTTCGTCACCAACAAAAACCACTTCCACAAAGGGGGACCCCAATCCTCCCACGCCGGCACTGCGGCTCCCGCCCTCGCCCCTGTCCCCCCCCCCCCCCCCCCCCTCCATCACCGGCCGGTAACAAACTCCAGCCGCACGCAAAAACCAGGCTCCGCGCGGACAAAACCAGCGCTCTCGTGGGGCGGCCGCGTCCCACTCACCCGAGTCGACGCTGTCCGGACAGCTGGTGGGAGCGGAGCAGCCCGGCGCCGTCGGCCCGCTCGGCCTCGACCGACTGCGCGCGCGCCGGCGGCGTCATCGTACCGCCGCCTTCCAGCGCGATCGGGATGATGAACTCGCGCGGCGACTTGCGGATGAGCTCGCGTGGCGGCGACGGCGCGCGCACCTCCTCGTCGCTGGACGAGTCCTGCTCGGGCAGCGAGCGCAGCGACGAGGTGGGCCCGATCGGCCTGGAGGGACGGCGCGCCGCCGGCGCCGCAGGGGCCGGCGCCGCCGCCGGCGCTGGGGCGGAGACGGCGGCGGCGCCGCCGGCGGCGGCCGTGGGCTTGGTCGTCTCGCCGTCCGCCAGCCGGATGGGGATGATGAACTCCTTGCTGGCGGCGCGGCGCGGCGGCAGGCTCTGCGCGCGGTCCTCGGGCCGCGCCGGCGCCGCCGGCTGCTCGTCGCTGGTGCCACGGTCCAGCCGAGCTCGGACAGCCGCCGGCGCCGGCTCGGCCGGCAGGGCCCGCGGCCGCACGTCGGCGGGCGCGGTGCGGATCGTTGACGGCACGCTGTCCGCCGAGAAGCGAGCGGGTGACTTGCGCTCCGGCATCTTCAGGCTCGGTCTGACCTTGGTGTCCTGGGTCTTGGGCTTCTGTTCGGGCTTAGCGAGTTTATTTTTCGCATTGTCTTCGGGCTTGACCGCTGTGTCCTTCAGTTTTCCCTCAGGCTTGACGACCTTGTCTTTCACCTTCCTTTCATCATCCACAGCCTTTTCTTTCGTCTCCTCTTTCACAACCTTGCTTTCTTCAAGAACTGGAGTACGTTTCCCTGCTTGCACTTTACCATCGTCCTTGGCACCTACAGGACTTCTCTCCCGCTTTAGATCGGCTGAATTTTCTTCCTTCGGTTTCGAAATCACTGTCCCCTTCTCTTTCACTGGGGACACACGGCCAAGTTGAGAACTAACGTCGTTCGGCTCCTGGAGAGTCTTTTTCTGCTTTGGCACGCCATCGGCTAACTTTGCATCACTGACCGGGATCTTGCTCTTTTTGGGTGTCACGTGGGACTCGCCAGGAATTCTCGCCGGAGATTTCTCCTTTTGCACCTCAGGGTCAACAGCTTTCAGCTTCGGCTTATGCTCCGCGGCCTTTTCATCAGCATCCGCCCTACTCGTCTCTTGTTTGGGGGACACCCGAATGTTCTCCTCGGTTTCTTCGCCCTTGGCACCGCTTGGGTCGACCGTCGTCTTCTTTGGCTTGCGTTCCGCGAGCTCTTTCGGCGAAGCACTCTTGTCTTGCCTGACACCGTCCGACGAAGCCTGTTTTACTTCTTCGGGTGCCGTCGGGACAGATTTGCCAGCTTCTCTGCTCGTCTCTCTCGCAGGACTAGTTTTGACGCCAGCAGCATCCCCAGTAGACAAAGAGGGCGCTACAACTGCCTCCTTCAGCGAAGGCGAAAGACGGCTATCGGAGGCAGATGGCGCTTTTGTAGAGGCCACCTCTCTCTCGGGCTGCTTTTCGGCGCCGGCCGACGGCTCCGGTGCCGCCGGGGACGGTGACGCCCGGCGAACTTGAGGTCGCGGAGCCGCCTGAACGTCCGTCGGCACCTCCGACTGATCGCCAGCGGTGCTCTGCTCCTGCTCAACCGGAGCGGCCCCCGACGTCACCTCCTCACCGCCCTCTGGCGGCGGCGCTGGTGTTGGACGAGGCGTCTCCGCCTCCGGAGGCGTGACGACCGGAGACGGCGATCGTTTCTCGGGCCCGAGCTTGAGCTCCGCGGTCTTGTCCTCCCCTGGAGTGATCTCCTGAGCGCCCGCAGCCGGGGCCTCCGCCTCCGCAGGCGCTGCTTCAGCCGCCGCCGCATCGTCACTCATCACCACGTCAGAGGGCTCGACGACCGCCGCCGCCTCCGGCTTCTTCTTCTTCTTCGCCGCCTTCTCTCCCGCCTTTTTCTTGGTCTTCTCTGTCTTGCCGCCCGGGGCCGCCTGCTCCTCCGCCTCGTCCAGGGCTCGCTTGGCTGCCTTGTCGGCGCCGGGCTCGGCCGGCTCTGGTGCCGGTTCTTGGGCCTGAGGCACGGCAGGGCTCGAGGCGGCCCGCACCTCCATGGCGCTGCCCAGCGACAGCGAGTCGGAGGCCGTGAACTGCGCCTTGGACGGCTCCGGCGCCGACGGCACAGCACCCTGCAAACAGAGGATTGTCACTGAGCGGAAGGATTAGATCCAACACGACACAATCTTAGACGACAGACGTTGCCAGAAAGGCTTACTGCTTTCGAGCGTATCAAAAATGTCACAGAGACTGCGGTAGTACCAGTTTTGATACCGGAGACTTCCAAGGAAGTGACGGCAACTCCAAACTGTACTCGCATCCGTACACATAACGATGCTCAAGACGCGATCTTCAAGATGGCTATTTCAGTTCAAAACCATATACAAATGTTGAGCACTCCTTTAATGTGGGGGGGGGGGGGGGGGATGGCGGACCGTGCCGAGCACTGCGGCAGTTAAACTTTCTCCGGTACGGCTCACACAACCAGCACTGCTTGGCCTGAGCTCTGGTCCCAGAAATCCGTCCATTCAAAAGGTTCGAATTAAATGTTTAAAAAATACCCAGGATGCTTTCCCGACCAAATTCATGCACCTGGACTGAATCTTAGTGTCTGGGCTTAAAGCGATACATTCTACAGTCCGGTACATTTCTTTCGGACACATTGCTAGTATCACGTCTTCGGGGATGACAGCACAGAGACGAGATGAACTCTGGTCGATAAATGCCGAGCGAATTGCACAGCACAGGGGCCTAGAAATTCAAATCGGCGAGCGTCTAATTCCGCATGAAACTCACATTCGTTCCAGCCACTTCGAAAACATAAACAATGACAGAAATGCCCTAGCGGCGTTTGTGTTTACACATGCATGTTTCGTTGTAGAAGGAAAAGTATTGGCTAAACTGACATTATCCACGTGTAGAAGCGCAAACCAGATATAGGCTTCACCAATTCACACATGCGTGGTCTCATTATTGATCCAAACGCAACGCAAATGTCACGTACACGGCTCGAGGCTTACAAGTGCTTCGATCCACTAATAAAGCCATGGTCAAACAACATAAGCTCATACAGCGCGAAGGCCGCCTGTCGCTGCGGCCACACGTAGCATCAAAGGCACAGGCCCCGACACACCGCGGCCCGTGCTGCTCTGCTGTCACGAAGGGTTCTCATGCGGAATAACTCTCTGCTATCGGAGCCTGGAGTGAGAATGTGGTTTGGTGGCGGCCCGCAATGCTAGGAGTACGGACAGTACGCCGCAGGATAACATCGATAATGAGGATGGTCTGGAGCAGAGTACGACATCTGTCCCACACTGATGATATTGCGTGGGCAGGCATGTAATTTCAAGAAATTTTCGGGTCGGGCGCATTTCCAAACCATAATAAGGACCACATGATGGTCCACCTTGGCTGGAAGGATCACAACTACCAAAAGGACATCAGGCAACGCAAACGTCTCAGTACAAGCGATCTGATGTGGGACATCCAATCATGCTTCGGCAGTGGCGCAGCGAGGGCTTGCCCAGGAGCGAGCGAAATCGGGTAATAGGCGGCCCTCACATTCAAGGGACATAGGGTTCTTCGCCGCTTTGGCGCCCTGTTTTGTTTGGAGGATTTTTTCATCTCGAGACCAAACTTCGATGGGTCGGGCCCATTGACATGTTTAGAAGTTTTAAGGGCGTCTAAGGCTGTCAAAGTGCACTGGGCCTTTCTGTCCCAGTGAGTCTCGCACCTCTATAGGTGCGGGCATGGGCATGTGCACGCTCCCAAAAGCACCCCTTGGCTACACCCTAGTGTTCCAGCAAAATTATAGCAGATCTAGGGCGAAGATCCGACCGGGTCACTTCTCGGCCACCAAACACCGCACGCCTCAGTATTACTCCCCAGTCATCTTCCCAACCCCTCACCTCCTCCGGCGGCGGCACCAGCACGTGCTCCATGTCGGGTCCCTGCGGCGCCAGCGAGAGCAGCAGGTCGAGCCGGACCGGTGTCTGGTGCGCCAGCTCCTCGGCCGCCTCCAGGCAGGGCACCTCCTCGCCCTGGTTGACCCACGGGTGGCCACAGACGTCCATCATGCTGGCCCGCTTCTCCGGCGCCGGCGTCAGCAGCGCGTGGATCAGCTCGGAGGCCGCTGTCGGCGGCGGGCACGGCACCTCAACCCAGTGACGATGCAAGGTCCCCACACAGTGCTCAAGGGTGCGAGGTACAGGTCGGCTGAACATACTGATGGGACTAAGCTGTACATATTCTGGGATTGAGAAAGCATTCCCAGGAATGACATGCACTATGCCTAGGATGGAGACAACGCTCACTAAACTGAGACAGGCACTTGCGGGACTGAGACAAGCACTCACGGGACTGAGACAGCACTCACGGGACTGAGACAGCACTCCGGAACTGGAACACACCCAGGACCGGGACAGCACTCACGGGACTTCTTCTGCGGCTCGTAGAAGTCACCGGACGTGATCTGCTTGACCAGTTTCTTGAAGTTGGAGCCGTCGAAAGGCATGGCGCCGTAGACGAGAGTGTAGAGCAGCACGCCGAGTGACCAGCAGTCGACCTCCGGCCCGACGTACGGGGTGCCGCGCACGATCTCCGGCGACGCGTACAGCGGCGAGCCGCAGTACGTCGACAGCAGGCGAGTCTCGTCGAACACGTTGCTCAGGCCGAAATCGGCGATCTGGCGGGCGCCGAGACGCGGAGGTCACGGCAAGGCGGAAGGAGGGGCGGTGAGGTCACGGCGGGTGGAGCGGGGAGGTCACGGCAGGCGGAAGGCGGGGGAGGTCACGGCAGGCGGGGCGGTGAGGTCACGGCAGGCGAAGCGAGGAAAACGGAACGACAACTAGCAGGAGGAAGGAGCACGGAGCGGCAGTTAGCCGGGGGAAGGCGCAGGGGAGGGCAGCTAGCCAGAGAAAGAATAGCAGCTAGCCGGAGAAAGGCGCATGGAGCGGCAGCTAACCGGAGGAAGGGGCACGGAACGGCAGTTAGCCGTAAGGAGGAACGAACGGCCGCTAGCCGGAAGAAGGAGCAGGGAACGACAGCTGGCCGGAAGAAGGCGCATGCGGCCGCCACAGCACACACGCTTACGCTGCCAACGATGCAGATTTTTAGGCTGGAGGGATCCAATACGCACAGTCGCCTTTCGCGTATGTTTCGGTGTGTGTTGTGCGGGTTTCCCGAGTTTTACAGGACTCACCTTGAAGCGTCCTGCTGAGCGACACGTGCACATGACCACATTTTAGACATGCGTCGAGACTTACGGACCCGGGGCATGCGCACACTTGACTCCCCATGAGATACTTCCTCCCGAATACGGATTTAATACATGTTACAAACCAATCCACCTGCAGCAGTGCAGCCATGATATGTACAAAGACAGTGGTATTTCTGCTGCTGCCTACGTCACACCGTCAATGTGCCAAAAGGCGCTTCATGTTCGCAGACTAGTACAAAGAAGAGGAACTTAAAAAAGGTACACACTCGTGACCGATCCACACGTAAGCGTTTCGCAAGCGACGTCCGGTGCCAGCAGAAGGGGCGTGCCGCGGTTTCTGCGCTGGGATTCTCACCTTTGCGTTGCCGTACTCATCCAGCAGGATGTTCTCCAGCTTGAGATCTCGGTGGCAAATCTTGTGCTGCAAGCAGAGCAATCACACTTAGCGAAGCTGCCGCTGACGGGAAGCTGGGTGTGGCCCATCGATTACAGTCGAATCGTTGAAATTGCAAGATACACGACATGCACATATCTAGGGATTGAAAAGCAGCTTCGGGTTCAGTGAACATCAGATCATCGATCTAGCCGAAAGCCTTCGGTCAGACCGTGCCTAGAGTCGGTATTTGTGCGCTAGTTTGACGAGAAGCGGGACCTAATTCTAATACTGACAAAGCTCGCCAAAGCATTTTGGTGATCTGACCACGTGCAGCAAATGCTGACCTCGTGCAACTGTAAATGTGATTGGAGACTAAGCAAAAGCTGAACGAGCTCAAATGACAACAGAGGCTTCGGCCATAATGCTATGGATGCGTAACTTTAGATGCTTTATTGGAGATGCTCGTACCCATTAAAGGGTACGAGCATCTCCAATAAAGAATAGCATCTCCAATAAACAAGCGATAGTGGTGTTTTAACTAAACAAACGTCGTCCATGGCGTTATAACCGGAAAGAAAACGCAAACGTAACAATATTCTCGCTTTTCTTTTTTCATCGTGGTTGAGAAGCTGCCTTTTGAAATCGGAGTGTTCTCGAATCACTACGAAGCACTACATTCGAAAACCGGTTCGCTAGACTCCGACCCTTCAATAAAAACAGAATGCAACGCTCGATGACGGTCCACAGCATCCTGCGGGAACCGCAGGTACCCACATCCTGAAGAGGCGGGAGACGACGCTGTCCTAACCTGGTCAGCACTGACAGGGGCCAGACCATTTTGAGAGCTTGATTGAGCAAGTTACGCAAGGAGTCCATAATTCTTTTTCAGTACAGCTTGATAAGCTTACGCTCATCAAGCCAAACGCGCTATGCTATTTCAGTTCATCGACAATCCTGCCCCAAGTCTTACAAAACCGGTGTGTACTACGGGGCGGTCCTTCCGTGCCGTACAATGTTACATCACAGCCACTCGGCGCCAGCTCTGCCCTCTGACCAGTTGCCGGGTGGCGGTCCCATGTCAGTCGGCACTAAAAATGCGTCCGTAGTGGTATTTGTACTCAGAGCCAGCGAGTTACGAGTCTAAAGCCTCCCATTTTGTTGTTGTTCATTGGAGTTTTCGGGCGCGTCGACTGCAGTGGTCATTTTGCGCCCAGAGTCTAGAGCCTAGAGTCTAGGCTCTAGACTCTGGGAGTCTAGAGCCTCCCACGCGGATGTGGAGAGACAACTGCCATGAGGTATGACAACGGTTCTCGTCTAACCCTTGACAGAGCTATCAGCCCTATCTATCCCGCGGCAGGGCCATCAGCCATTCTACCTCGTAGCAGAGTTATTAGCCCCATCTACCCCGCGATGGGAGTAGCAGGTGCTGTCCGCGGTGCCGGCCCTTGCTATGTGGCGTCAGTGCTATCACCACCCTCCCAGCTGGTGCGCGGCGTGCCGGCCACCGTACCGAGCGTGCAGTGGCAGCAGCCCTCCCCCTCGCCGGTACACCGGGAAGCGTGTCGTCCGCCGCACCCACCTTGTGGCAGTAGTAGTAGCAGGCGCTGGCCACCTGCCGGAAGATGCGGCGCGCCTCGCCCTCGGCCAGCACCTTCTTCTCGCTGAGGTAGTCGTACAGCTCGCCGCCAGCCGCGTACTCCATCACCAGCACCATCTTGTCGCGGTTCTCAAACACTGCGCCGACAGGGGAGACTTCATGTGCAGGCGATGCTTACCTCACCGCGATTGCTGGCAAGATTGTTGACTGGCGGGAGTTTCCGCAATCGAGCAGATATTGATGTATGTGGGAGGAGGGGTCATGACGGTGCTTGAAAGGAGCACGCCAGCAAACCGGAGAAAGCTCACAAATATATATATATATATATATATATATATATATATATATATATATATATATAACTCCGATGGTGGAAAAATGTCTTCTGAAAGTATTCAAATAAACCCAATATGTGCTACTAATATTACGGTGCTAGTTAAGCTGGCTGAGCTGTCGTTGTCCCCTGATATGCTACATATCACATGCACCTGGTAGAAATGCAGTATACTGCTTTACATGACCACCCCTACATAAAAGCAGTTCAATGGTGATGACTCCTCGACGCCATGCCATGTGGAACAGAGCGCTAGAAGGGTATAGCCAGGAAATCGGAAGTGAAACTCCTCCACACTCGTGGCTTGGTGGGTGTGGCTTGTTAGCTAACATTACAACAAACTAAGGCACTGACAGTACGCGATTCAATGACACTATATCCATACAAACACAAAGAACAACAAACAGGCAAAAATATCCGATTGCGTGAGCGTAACAAATCACCAAACCACGCGAGTCAACCAACCGCGTGCAGCGTCACATGATCACATCATCCCTCGCGCGATGCCAGGGAACCGACGCTGACCACTGCCCCTCAGCTAGATACCTTCATATATGTGGATAATGTGTGGGTGCGTCACCGAGGACATGATCTGGATCTCCCGTCGAATGCGGATGAGGTCTTTCTCAGTCTCGATCTTCGCCTTCTTAATGGTCTTAATTGCGACCTGCGGGGACAAACACAGCATTACAACTGCTGACGGCGGTTTAACTCTGAAACCAAAGCGTCAACAACAGGTAAAAGCATGCTTTTCCAGCGCACAAAACACACTAGAAAAATGTAGGTGGGCTAGGAAGCATAACACGTGAAAGGTTTCCCCACAGGAAAATACAAATAAACCGGTAATTTTTTTCGTAAAAGTGACATGCCAAGGGTGGGCACAACCGCACGACGCCGGTTACCCTAATAGGAATCACAGCCAGTGTGCGGAGTCAACAATCTATTCACCGCCGCCCCAGTGTTCCGTCCCATTCGAGTCCCTCACACGAATGAAGCGTTCAGCGGGGTCAACTGGGAAGACCACGTGCTTACATAGCACCGAGGAACGAGGCCGCAGACTGAGTGTGTCTTACTTCAACTACGGCCACGTGCTCAGTCTGAGCGGCATGGTCTGGCGCAAGCGGCATTGACATGCCGGCGCTTTCGCAACCACTAATCGCAGCTGCATGCACCTTTCAGCAACAAAAAGGCCATCTTTAAGTGCTGAACAGTTGTTTGCTGTACAACGTGCAACCAGCGAAAAATCGCAGGACGAGTTCAAAACCGGTCTCCTGTCCCGACAACCCAGGGTGGCAAGAACATAGGATCAATGCAACTTAACCGAGGAAGTGACGAGCAATCCTAGCGGCGCAAATGTCCGCCACTTCGTACAGCAACTAGTTCATGCAAGCACAGCCACTCGCCGTTCAGCCAGTCTCTCGCATTTCTTAGTGGATTGGCCCATCAAAAATCATTCCTGAGTTGAACACGTAGAAGATTGCGGCGTACTTCCTCAAGTCAGAATGCATTTGTGTTTATAGAAGTGGCCCCCTACAACGTCATCATCTCGCAAGGCTTTGGTCTCAGCACGGGTCATGTGGTATGTGATACCAACGGTGACACGTATTTTAATTGTGGTGGGCGTTTTGGCACACAGAGTTAGGACAAAAGACGCAGCGCAAAGGTGGCGTTATATCAGGTGTTTTAGATTCGTTTAGGTAGGTCTGCCTTTTAAAATAATAATACTAAGCTTTCTCTGGAAAATACTACAGAAATAAATATAAGCGAACACAAAATACAAACGGTGGGCCAACCCATCAAGAGCTAATGAAGGATCTCGGCAACAATGCCGTCATGAAATAGTTTAAATTGCGCACTCTCCCCCCCCCCCCCCACACCACCGGGCACATGCTGAGGCGAAAATTCTGCTGAGTTATAAGATCACTAACGATTTTGGACCAGCCAGCAGGGTTTGCGGCAACACAATCAGCCGCATGAAGTACGGGAACGCATCGTCCCCAACAGTTCATATGTCACAGCTGACCACAACATCGTACTTTGCTGACCACAGGACCATTCCGAAGCCCAGTACGGTAGCTAATCCCCACAAAGTTCCGTGAACGCAGCATTAACGCGTGCAACAATTCACAGACACGTGGAGCACGTGCCGGCGGCGGTACTAAGCGGGCGCCCACTATCGCGCCGAGCCAACACTGGCGCTCGAGCCGTGACTTCAGTCGGCGCGCCGCGCCTGGCCGCGATGGGGAGGGGGAGGGGCGACGACGCCAACCAGCGACGAAAATAGCGGCGGTGCGAGCACGGATGCACTTCTCGACCCTTCACATTCGGAAAGCCCGTCAGGGGTTCCGGTGCTCGGGCGGCACAGGTGGGTGGCCCGGTCTGATGACGCCATGGGGCACGCCGCGCCGCCCTGATTGGTTTGCAAACGCTCCGGACCGGCCCCGTGAATGACAAGTGGGCTAGGGTCTCCACCTGCTGCAACTGAAGAGTGGCGCACTCAAACGCTGGGCGCCTCCGCGCCGTCCGCCGCCGCATGACGGGCGGACGCCGTGAACAAACAGTGGCTGAAGAGGCGAGCCGCCCCAGCGCCGCCGCAGACAGGCGCCGGTTGTACCGAGACAGCTGACGTGACCGCCCTTCCCCGCAGACGCCTCCAGTCGCCTCCTGAGCGGACTCATCGGTCGGCAGACACCGGCCATCGACCGAGAGGCGGCGACGGCTCACCCGGCAGGCGCCATCCCGTCAGCGGTAGCGTTGCAGGAGGCGCTGCTCTGGGCGCTTCCTGGAACGGCAGCTTCGGCGCTAATCTTCGGAAGGCATCCCCCGGCCCGGCCAACTAGGACCTTGAATCAATCTCCCGTACTTTCTGGAATCTAGTTACGTCTACGACACCACAATTCTGACAACAACAGTGGTACGGGGTTCGATTCTCCGCGGTGCCCGTCCCTTCCTGCCAAGGTGAGAGGCAGGCGACGCACTACAGCATCAGCAGCTGAGTGCGTCATTAAGCCCCTAAGACAACAGTGGTTCTCCACTGATATGTAAAATCCGCGTTCCCATCCACGGCACACCCAGACAAACACTCCCCGCGCCTCCATAGATGAGAAAAGCACGCCGCGGGTGTGCGAATCGTCGGTGTACACCGGCACATACCGGTGTCAACCGGTATCCGCCGGCACGTACCGGCGTCCACCGGTGTCCAGTCCCAATCACCGCGTTTGTAAACTACAGGCAGCTGCGAGTAAGAGCGGCTGGGACAGCAGCGCCAGCATCGCATGGCGTTTTATTTCTGGCGGCTCCAGTGACAACAAATACGCCAAACGCCAAAACCTCGGCTCCGATTGGACTAGCGCCAGTCAGGCACCAGAATCCAGGGCATCTCTGTCTTTCCCGCCCATCAGCGCTGTTTAAACGCTCCGCAGCGTTAAGACGTCCTCTTCATCACCGCAGTTTATATCTGCTGGTAACGAGCATATGATGTGTATAGACACACGCATGGATATAAAATACATCCAGGTCTTGTTCAACTGGGGCTTGTTTCATTCCGTTGATGCGTGTTCCGACTGCTGCAGGTGTATAACATAGATGTTATGCAAACATGCCTTATGGGATGAAAGGTGACCACCTAAGCATAACTTCTGTCTAAAGATTACCATTTCGGCTACATGTCAATAGATGCTACGGTGTATCCTCTGTTGAGACCCTTTGCCTTAATCATGGGAGGTTAGATATGAAGAAAGTTGTTGTGATGCCGTGACTAAGCGATCAACTACGACCACAACGTGACGCCAAACGGACCGCGGTCATCTAGAACGTTGGAAAGGATCTGCGCTATGTAGAGTTCCCTGATTTTATTTCCCTTAGAACGAGCGGAAACATCTCATACCAGAAAGACCCTTTTCAACCCAAACAAATCTCGAAGAACTGCATTACTGTCCTATGTGTGCAATGTCCTCGAGTGAAACGCCACAGACCCTAGCACGAGCACCATGAAGATATCGGTGCCCCGGACTCACCTCCCATTGGTCCGCCCTAGACCCAAGATCATGCGCAATCATTACAGCGGAAGGAAAACATGGCAAAATGGGCGATGCCAAGCAAGTCAGCATCATGTGTCGCAACTCTCCATTTACTTACAAACACCTTGGAATGTGCCAGGAACTGGGTGCATTTCGTTAGAAAACATCACGTACCATTCTCCGCACGTCAGTGCTCCGTCATCATAATCACAAACAGCTAAAAGCCTGCAAACAACACATGACAAAAGGCCAGTGATAGCTTTTTTTCTAACGGGCGCAGGCATTACATGAAATGCCAAGTGGCATTACATGAAATGGCATGCCCCCCCCCCCCCCCCGTCCAATTTGCCACGAAAATTTGTGTCGTCCTACGTCCATCTCCACGCACGGGGCTTCCGCGTTGGCTTCCGCTGACACGAACGCCATCTACGACCTAACTCAGACATGGTCTAATATAGAGGTCATTATTTGCATCAGTTCGTTTTTAAACAGGCCAACTTGAACTCACAGCCTCCCATTGCCCACATATACTCACATCCTGGCCCGTCTCCTTATTTATAGCCAGCTGCACCTTCCCGTAAGTTCCTTGGCCAAGTTTCTTCACTATATCAAACCTGAAACAGAAGTAACAGTCAACTCTTAGGAATCGGCGATGTTCTCGATGATAACGACGTGGTCGTGAACAATTTCTTAAAAAAGATCATCGTGCCACATAAACGTCCTGCGATCAGATCTAAACATGATCAAAACATCACATGCTTCCGTTATATAGATGTCACTCTTGCCGTGGTAAATGTGAGATGTAAGCATTGAATGATGTCTCTGGGACTAATTACCAACATCAGCACATCAAGGAACGATAGCCATGTGTGTTCTCCAGACCTGACTGACCGCCCCGACCGCCCAGTGCTCTGCACCTTTTGGCAACAACAGCAGACAACCGTCGCGCCGACGCGTGATGCTGATGATCTGGGTTTAGCACGCGTCGACAGCATGGGTCATATGGCGCATCGATCACTTCTGGCCAGCGCGTGCAGCGTGCGGTGCATGTCTCCTCTCATTCGCGGACCTGTTCCATGCCATCGCTCACCCCTCCCCCTCCCCCCCCCCCCCACACACACAACGCATCTCTGTTTGTCCCTGCTTATCGGGCCTGTATTCTGGACCGTGGATAACAGACGCCGCATACCAGTGGGATAGCACGAGAGGACGGGGCGGACGCGTTACGACAAGGGTCGGGAGAGCCGCTGCTGCGGCTGACGTACCAGTGGGATAGCAGGGGAGGACGGGGCGGACGCGTTACGACACGGGTCGGGAGAGCCGCCGCCGCGCCTGACGTACCAGTGGGATAGCAGGGGAGGACGGGGCGGACGCGTTACGACACGGGTCGGGGAGAGCCGCTGACGTCTGGTCCAGCCCTCAGCGCGTGCGGCGCTCAGCAGATACAAGCCCAGTGGCCCGGTCATCCTCACTGGTGCGTCACTGACTGGTGATCTTACAAAGTCACGAAGGTCTCAGAGGAGAACACATCTTTCAAAGACAAAAGCAATGTGCAGGAAGAAGAGGCAACGTTCTGTCTTGTAGCATGCCCGGCTGCCTACAGATTTTGCCGGCATCAAACCACGTCAAGTTATCGAAAAGCAGTCTCAGATTTGGAGCAATGCCAAAACATCTATGAAGAAGTGATCCGAGAAGCCTTCTCCTCATCATCAATATTTCTTCCAGCAAACATGTCACACCATTTCTCCATCTGAAGGGAAGCGACCGACGACCCACGGTTCAGGCGACGTATTTCCTCGTGAGCACGCGCGGAATGTGTTGTGTAGTTACCAGCTCGTCACGGAATGTGACCGGCGCTCCACACTTCTCACGTCGGGCTGGGTTCCAGGGAAGGGGAGGGATACGGCGCACGGGCGTCTCCAGGGAGGAGGGGAGGGGGAATTGGGTGGGGCCACACCCCCAGAGGCGACAAAAAAAAAACAACCATGTTAATGCTTTAGGCCTAATTTTCGGGGCATTAGCGCCGTCTTTCGAACACCGCTCTCTCCAAACTGAGACGTTATATCCGCCATTGCCAGCCCGCACGTTTCGAGGGAATGGCTGACGCCAGCAAGGGGGCGTCATTCTGCCACAGAGAAGTGACCCACGGTAAGGCTGCCCCCCCCCCCCTCAGCCCCACTGGCCGTTTTTCGTAAAGAAGCATGATTCCCGGATAGGTTCTGAGAGACCGGATTGCTAAAAATAGCCCCCAGGGCAATTGCGGCTGACGTAACAGGCTATCCGGTGCCGAATTGAACAAAACTTCTCACTACACGTGGCCCAATTCCCTCTCTCCGGGCCTCAACCGTTCCTCTAATCTCGAGACGTCACAGGATTACCCCATCGCCTGCCCTCAGGCTCCCGGGCCGACCAGCCCTGACATGGTTCAGCGACCTCGATTCCAAGCACATCCCAGCGCGGTCCATCCGCCGTCCTCGAAGGGAGGACGCGACCGGCATGCCCACTATTGTCCCCGTCTCTTGAGTACCGCTTCAGCCACGCTCGTAGTTGAGACGGTAACGTGAAGAATGCATCGCGACGTAGCGCCAAGGTTAAAACCTGAGCAAACATTTTAAGATTTTTACGCAGGACACTCCAAATTACCCGCGTTATGACCCACTGCTCACGCAATGATGCGCTCTCCTCGTGTTACGATCTTACGCGACACGCGCATGTTTAGGCACCTGTTGAAAAGGTTGTCAGTGCTGAGCAAAGTGCACTTCATCCATCGCCTAAAAACCGTCCTCCGAATGTCCTAAGTTCGTGAAGTACCCCGGCAAATCGGCAAATCCCATGGTCCATCCGTATCCCGACAAATCGCACGGTCCGTTCATATTCCGAAAAATCCCATGGTCCATTCATATTCCGACAAATCCCACGGACCATTCATCATTCATCAATCCCCGACAAACCTCACCGTCCATTCATATCCCGACAAATGCAAAGGCCCATTCATACCCCGACAAACCCCACGGTCTTCTCGTGTCCCGAGATCACAGGTGGCCATAGGTTCGGCTGACTCCAACATCTGCAAACCAGCTGGCCTGCCATGCCAAACACACCCCAGAACTGTCCAGTGAGCATGCGCTTTTCAAAGCGTTCATGAAAGAGAACATCACTTGGTATACACGCGGCACACGGTGGTGACATAACGCGTCAAAGCAAACTTGTATGAGGTCACTTGACTGCATGGTGGTCCATTACGGCACCAAAGCAATTAGACTTGTTTGACGCCGCGCACCAGACGGTGACGTCATCAAAGCACCGCTCTGACATCATTGCACGGCAGTCGGCACGGCACCCAGGTACGTCCCCCCCTCCCCCCCCCGTCCGAGAGCAGATGACAGCCGCACAGCGCCGGGTCACGGGCAGGGGGGGGAGCGGGAGCGGGGGGGGGGGGGAGGGACGGCCGCCGAGCGGCGGCAGGGCGCCAGCTCGAGCACGCGGTCGGCATGAGTCGGCCAGACGCGCCGCTGAGTCAGGACGAGCGCTCTGGAAGGCCACCATCACCGCGGTCAGGCCCACTCACGGGGGAGCAGAGCGTTGTCCACCGGCCGGCCGGCTGTCGCGCTCGAGTTCCCCTCATTGCAGGAGGTCTCTGAGAGCGCTTCGATTTTTGAATTTCGTTGGCAAAAGACCGCTGAAAAACTTGGCGGTGATATTTTCTGTGCGGGGAAGGGGAGCGACATCCTGTAAATACAACCTTGAACCAGCCCTAATGGCGACGCAAACGATGGCGACAGACCCGCCGACGCAGAATTTGGCAGGAAGCCGAGGCCTGTAGCGAAGGAAATACGCCAACAACTGCACCTCACTTCGGCTACAGGGAGAAGGAAAACCACCGCAGAAGGGTGCAACGTCTGTAATCCGTCACCAATGGCGCCGCTTACGTCACAGTTGGGGCGGAGGCAAGGTTGGACACGAGACGCTGGACGGCGGGCGATGTTATGCCACCGAAGTTCGGTGTTCTGCGACAGCGACCACGCCGTGATGAAAGCGACGCAATCTCGAATGGTAACTGTCCGGCGGCGGCGTTAGCTACTAGCCGACTCGCAGCGCCGGCCGCGGTCAAAATGTCCCAGACGGCGGGCGAGAAGGCGGAAATGGACGCGGCGTCAGCTGACAGGCCCTCCGGAGACCAAGTTGACAGCCGAGATCGATCTCCGCCACATCTGACAGTGAGAGATCATGGTCTCCTCTCAGCGCCGCTGGCGCACGGCCGCGGACGTGGCCCGAATGTAACGCGCCCTGCTCAGGCATTAACAGGCAGCACGACTAGATCCGAACATCTACATGCACGTCACCGAAATCCGCCAGATGGGCCGGAAGGCGCTCGCCGAGCTCAGCAGGCAAGCCCGCTCGGATCGTGCCGGCCCGCGCCCGCGTGTTCGCGGCCGGGGCAGCAGCCGCCCGCACCTGGTCCGCGTGAGGTGCGCCCACCCGCTGAAGGCGTGCCGCGCAGCGTGAGTAACTGTTCCAGGACCGCTCCGCCTCCTCCCGGGCCCCCCAGACCGGCACCGTTAGTCAAGGGTGCTGGTAAGGCCCAGGGACCGCAGCAGGGAGTCGTCACGGCATCGTCCGTCGACATTCTCCAATAAGATATTGTTCTGTCACAACTAAAATGCAAGTCGGTGTTTAACATTTTGGGTAAACCTTCGGATGTCCTAAAAAATCATAGGGTGATAATCCACCGGGCCATTGGTAATTTCTACATACAAAAATGCAACAGCTTGCTGTGCCTGTCAGCCTAACGCCACATGCAGTATAAAACAAAGACCATGATACAGCAGAGAAGCGCAGGACTTCTGAATTGTTGCTCGCTATGTTCAGGAAGCTACACATTTAGAGCTACCAGTCAGGTATACAGACAAGCATGTGCAAGTTACAAGCCCAGACACGTTGCCAAGAACTATAATACGGTCAAGCATTGGCCATTTTCAGGGTTGATTTAAGCACTGAAAAACTTTTTCGTGTTTTAAAAATACCTCTATAATGTTTTCTTTAGTGTATACCAAACAGCCGAAAATTTTCATGCGACTCCATTGACCTTCAATAAAAAGTAAGCTTGGCGTATCTGACTAATGAGTCAATAGCATGAAACAAAACTCTTTAAACACGAATTTCATCCTTTCACGTCTTTAGTTCACTCATATTTCGGCGAGTACCGGGCCTGGCAATCAGCCGGGTGGATCGGTCAAGCGCCCTGGATGCTGGCTGCTCCATGATCATTTATATTGGTGCAGTGCGTAGCAAGGCGGACTTTGAAAATCATTTAACACGCGTCCGGGTGGCCGGCTAGACACACTTCGCTCGGGTGGACGGGGTCAATTTGACCCTCCTTGAGATCTCGGTAACTAAGAAAGCCAGAGACACCAAATTTACAGGGTGTCTTGACCTGTACGTGAAATCACTTAGGTCAAAGTTTGAGCTTCCTAGGTCATGACCTTCAGGTAACATAAGGTCAAACAATGTCAAATTCCAGGTTGATCCCTATAGTGTCCCCAGAGCCTAGGCAACTGTTCCTAAGCAAAATGTCACAAACCCATTTCAGCTCAGTGAACTTGTTTGACCTGTTGAAGGTCATGGCGACCGCAATTATACAGGACTGCTCTGAGTTTTGCATTTGAATAAGCGACAAAGATTACGCTAGGCAGTATGTTCCTAAAACAAAATGTCGACCTGGCTCATGTTAGGTCAATGACTTTTTCTGACCTTTAGGAAGTCAATGTAAGATGCATAATACGGTTCCTATTATCAATTAATTTGAAATGAGCACCACAAACTATCCCACACAGCAAGCTCTAAATTAATAAATCAGGTTGGTTTTGACCTTGGTCTGACCTCCATACCTGATCTTAGGTCAACGTAATTTGCTAATTCAATATTTGTGGTGCCTAAGAGAGCATCTTCAGAGATGTATGGCTTCGTTAAACACTCCATTATTGTATCAGATTGGACGATTCCCTGGCAATTGCCTTCGCTGAAACTATGGCCTGACTTTGACCTGCCATAGGTCAGCGACCTCACAAGGTGCATCTAAATTTTTGATGTCCAACGATCAGCTATTCAATTGTCTACAGATACACAAAATTTGGCGTGGCTGTGCCGCGCCGTTTGAAAATCATTCTGGAAATATCTTCGGAGGGGGTCAATTTGACCCCCACCCGAGCGCGTCTTAATAGCATGCAAATTAGATGCTAGCGACCATTGCGGCGCCACATGACGCGCGCAGGTCATGTTTACACACGCAATTGAAGGTTTGCAGGTACGGTTTGCTTTCCGACTCAACTATGGTGTGCGCATGTCCCCGAGTTTGGCACCGTATCGTGCAGAGGAGTGGGTACCTTGTCGGCGCCGCTCGACACCTGGCGGGAGACCGCCGGCAGCACCGCTGTGTCAGTCCAGTCAACAGTCTCCGTCCCTCCCCGCTGTGTCAGTCCAGTCAACAGCCGCCGATCCTTCCCGCTGTGTCAGTCCAGTCAACAGCCGCCGACCCTCCCCGCTGTGTCAGTCCAGTCAACAGCCGCCGATCCTTCCCGCTGTGTCAGTCCAGTCCACAGCCGCCGATCCTTCCCGCTGTGTCCAGTCCAGTCAACAGCCGCCGACCCTCCCCGCTGTGTCAGTCCAGTCAACAGCCGCCGACCCTCCCCGCTGTGTCAGTCCAGTCAACAGCCGCCGACCCTCCCCGCTGTGTCAGTACAGTCAACAGCCGCCGATCCTTCCCGCTGTGTCAGTCCAGTCAACAGTCTCCGTCCCTCCCCGCTGTGTCAGTCCAGTCAGCACCCGCCGTCCCTCCCCGATGTCCGACTTTACACGCGCGAGTGCCCACGCTTGCAGCCTGCCCGCAGTCCCGCCCCCGCGTCCAACCGTCGGCCGGGTGCCGAGCCGCCCGCCGCGCCGGTCCGCCTCGCGAGACCCGCCCGCAGTACCGCCCCCGCGTCCAACCGTCGGCCGGGTGCCGAGCCGGCCGCCGCGCCGGTCCGCCTCGCGAGGCCCGCCCGCAGTACCGCCCCCGCGTTCAACCGTCGGCCGGGTGCCGAGCCGGCCGCCGCGCCGGTCCGTTTCGCGAGCCCCGGCCGCCGCGCGCCTGTTGTTCTTGGTGTGACCCCAATGCCGGCGGGCGTGAAGGCCGCCGCGCTGCCCCGTTTGGCGGCGGCCGGCGGCGGGGCGCGCAGGGCGTCGCGCGCCGCGCGCCGGCCCGTGTTTTGCGGCGGGACGGCCGGCCCGAAGTGGGGCGCTGTTCGGCTGTTTACACGCCGGTTAAATCTCGCCCATTGTTGCCCGTCGGATAAACGGGAGATGTTTGTGTATGTGTGGCTGCGGGTTCGGAGTGTGTGCTCAGCGAATGGCGGCGGTGAACTGCATGTGCGTGTGTGCGTGCGTGCGTGTGTGCGTATGGGTGTGTGGGCGTGTGATGTGTGAACTGGAACGGTTAAACGAAGCTATCTTAATTACATTTGCTCGCGTGATAACTGCACGTGCAGCTGAAGGCCGCATAAAGCCCGCTGATTCAGAGCATGTTAATGTTTCCCTCGAATCGGCACTGCAGGAACTGCCCACGCAATCATTCTGTAGTACTGGGATCGTTCAAATCGCTCCTTAGTTTCGGAGAACCCGAGCATCTACGCGTCCTCCGCGTCTTAAACCGCAGTATGACGTCTTTGCCGATCAGATTAATCTTGCGGTCGCCTAGGTTTAAGTAAGATCATGTTTTGATGGGCAGGCATGATACCAGATCTCTGCCTACCAAAACTTTTCGAAATTGAAAAATATATACAGAGACATGCCAGACGCAGACGCAACAAAAAAACTTTCAATACCCTAGTCACTTCCCTGTTTATAGGTAAATAGTGCTTAGAGAGCTTGCACACCGGAAAGCTATGGCGATGAATGATCGTTCAATTAATACATACAATAAGTTACGATAGAAGCTTTGCTTCTGCTTTTGCAGTCCAGAAGCTTTTACATCTTCGCATTAGGCAGTCATCATTTGCATTAATGACCAAACGTAATTGTACTATGTTTTGGTGCATATTCATAACATGCAGCATACCGGTAAACGTAATAAAACAGCGTGATAATCGCGTAACTATATCCACACTACAATAACATGCTAAGTACGAAATATCGGCAAATTCCCGTGAGCTGCAAGGGCCAGTTAACAAGATGCCAACATGAATAAGGGGCTAACCTTACAAAAACACGGCCCATGCAACGCAACACTAACAAATACACCGCGTATGCTCCTTGCCCCAATGAAATAGATATTCAAGTCCGATTGTATGCCAATAACCAAACTGGCTACTTTCAAGTCTGCCTTAGTCCAACTTCATGCAAACGATGGCTACTGCAACCTGTTTTTTTCGTGGTTGTGCGTGGTTGTGGCCGTACCTGTGCCTCAGCTTGTGTTTATATATTTGCCTGCAGTTGTGGTTGTGCCTGTGTTTGTGGTTGTGCCTGTGTGTGTGGTTGTGCCCACGCTCGTGGTTGCGCTTGTGTTTGCGGTTGTCCCTGTGTTGGTAGTTGTGCCTGCGTTTGTGGTTGTGTCTGGCTGTGGTTGTAAATGTGATTATGCCTGTGTTAGTCGCTGTGCCTGTGTTTGTGGCTATGCCTGTGTCTGAGGTTGTGTTTGTGGATGTGCCGTGATTGTGGCTGTGCCTGTGTCTGAGGCTGTGGATGTTTCCGTGTTTGTGGCTATGGCTGTTTGTGGCTGTGTCTGTGTTTGTGGTTATGCCTGTATTTGTAGTTGAGGCTGTGTTTGTGGTTATGCCTGTGTTTGTGGTTGTGCCTGTGTCTGTGTCTGTGGCTGTGGCTGTGGCTGTGGCTGTGTTTGTGGTCGCGCTTGTGTTTGTGGTTACACCTGTATTTGTGGTTGTGCCTGCATTTGTGGTCGTGCCGTGTCTGTGGTTGGGCCTGTGTCTGTGGATGCGCCTATGTTGTGTTTGTGGTTGCGCCTGGTAGCGGCCGTACCTGCGCCTGAGCTTGCGTTTGCGGCTGTGCCTGTGTTTGCGAATAAGCCTGGTTGCCGTACCTGCGCCTGAGCTTGCGTTTGCGGCTGTGCCTGTGTCTGCGGTTGAGCCTGGTTGCCGTACCTGTGCCTGAGCTTGTGTTTGTGGTTGTTGAGCCGCACGCCGGCGGCCTGCTGCATGCCCCCCATGATGTCGCTGATCTGGTTCTCCGACACCACCATGTCGGCGGCGCTGGTGACCCCTCAGGTCACGGCCGGCCAACTATCGCCTGCCGATGAGAGGAATGCCGTCAGTATGGTGCGGATACCAACGCAGGGACACACACATCATCATGCTCGTTTACGGTGCGTCAACAGAGCTTTGAAGATCGAGCAAAAACTCAGGTATGCTGCTACTTTGAATGTTGATCATGCTTTGATGGCAGCTACCAGGTGGCAAAACACCTTCATACCGTCAGTGAAATTAGCATGATCTCACGTCGCGTTAGCTACAGGAAAACGTCCGTTTTCACACACAGAGCAGACTACCATGAGCGGATTCAGCACCGCAGATCTCATCGGGGCATCGCCCACGCTGCCGCTTCTCGGGAAGCACACAAGTCATCACCGACTCTGCTGTGCGGCGCTGGCAGCTGTGATACGTCCAACGGTCATCTCAGCGTGCAACAGTCACAGCGCCGCCCGGGAATCGAGCCCGCGCTCCGACGTGGTCGTTCGGCTGTCGAAGGAGCTGTTAAGCCCGCCAAACGTGCTCCTTGTGGTTACGATATGTGACAGTGTTACGAATAAGATTGATATACACGGTGATCACAACAACAATCCAGTCCCTGTTGTTCCAAACAGCGTCCCACATTTTGACGCCGCGTAATTATGTGCGATCGGCCCGTCTTCATTTGACGAGTGATGACCACCACACGGCTTAAGTTCCACGAAAGATCCACGTGCTGGCCCGTGCCACTCACTTCACCCGTCAGGGGGGGGGGGGGGGCAACACAGCCAGGCTGCCAAAACAGCGTCGGCCACCCGCAGCCTGCCCGCCGGGCCGAACGGTCGTCACACGTGTGCGGATCTGCCCTGCAGCGCGACGTTGACGCTCCGTCACAAAGGGTGCTCTTCAGGACCGCACGAGCGTGCTGCGGTGACGCAACCGCCGCCAAACAAACAGCTGCCGGCCCGCCGGCCCGCGGCCCGCCGGGCGCCCAGCGCTCGCTGGTGACGGGTTCTTCCAGTTGCAAAACCTTGGCTTAGAGGGCACGACGGCCGACTAGACGCGCGTACAAAGCTGCGCCATCTCCGCGCGCAGGGCTGTGATGATGGGGTGACCGGGGCGGCTGGGTTTTGCATCGATGATTCGCTGCCTGCGCATGTGTCACAACCGCGAACGATGCACAAGCGGATGCAGTGCTCATACCGGACATCGCGTCCCAAGATAAGTTCCTGAAATGGTTCGGACGGTTGAAGATCATCAGTCATGCACGTAAGGGCATCATGACGTCTTTGGACCAGCTGACCAGACACGTCGACATGTGTTTTGGTCGTAAAACGCGGTTGTGAACTAGTTCGGTATGGCAAACATGGCCAAGCCTGGTGCAGAAGCCGTGGCGACGGGACCAAACACGGCGGCTGGTTGTATCAACACGATTTGCCAAATATGATCATGCACGTGGAGAAAAAGCCGGAGGTTTTCTGTCCAGACTACTGTCTATCCACCTCGAGGTTGCAAAACCACTGGGCTGTCCGGTAATCGTCGGACACACGGCTTATTTCGAACGGGCCAGCTGTGAACAGAAAATATAGTATGCCGTTATGCTTCGGAAGACAGCTGTAAGCCGATTAGTGCATTAAGTGTCCATGCAGTAGTCGTGTGCACAGCTGATGTGCATAACTTTACAGGCGGCCGTGAACGATAAATCGATCCCCAAAGACTCCCCCCCCCCCCTCCAAGTGGCCCACGCGCCGGACTGGACACTGCAGGGACTCTGCGGCCCCGACATTGATCGGGGCGCAGTCGAGGCTCGCTGCAGTTGAGCTGGCAACAGGCGCTCCCTGCCCCGTTTGAGGGGCGCCCAGAACTCCCTACCCTGTTTGCGAGCGCCCGGCGCTCCCCGACCTGTCTGCGGGCGCCCGGCACTCCCTGATCTGTCTGCGGGCGCCCGGCGCTCCCTGACCTGTCTGCGGGCGCCCGGCGCTCCCTGCCCTGTCTGCAGGGCGTCCGGCGCTCCCTCACTTGTCTGCAGGGCGCCGGCGCTCCCTGACCTGTCTGCAGGGCGTCCGGCACTCCCTGACTTGTCTGCGGGCGCCCGGCACTCCCTGACCTGTCTGCGGGCGCCCGGCACTCCCTGACCTGTCTGCGGGCGCCCGGCGCTCCCTGACCTGTCTGCAGGGCGCCCGACGCTCCCTAACTTGTCTGCAGGGCGCCGGCGCTCCCTGACCTGTCTGCGGGCGCCCGGCGCTCCCTGCCCTGTCTGTGGGGCGCCCGGCGCTCCCTGACCTGTCTGCGGGGCGCCCACCGCAGGCTTAAGACCGTCGACCGCCGTACCCAGGCTGCCAACCACAGCCGCAGCTGGAAAGACATCAGCTTCCGCTCTCGACATCTGACCAGTGTCACCCACTCGCCACTCGCGGACTCGGCCCCGGCTGCTCCGACGCGTCAAAAACCTTACACAAACTGCTGGACAGAGACATATCTATTCGGAGACTGCAGCATACATCTGTCAGAATCAGCCAGTGGAAATGCTGGCGTCTGTGGGCGCCGACGGCTCGGCGGCGGTTCGTTTGGCCCGTTCGCGTGCGAGGTGGGTCACGTGGTCCACTGCCGTTCAGCCAATCAGCGCGCGCGGCCGGGTCCGGCGAGGTCACGCCCGCCCCTGGCGAGCGAACACGACGTTCGGACGACGCCGGGCACAGCAGCTTAGCGGAACGTCCCACCAAGGAACCTTCAGGCTGCTCATTGCGCCACCCGCACCGCCGAGGACACGAGGAAACATCGTCTACAGCCCAGACACTATACCGCCTTCAAGGGAGCATGTTGTGAAATCAGAAAAGCGATCGAAGACCAGAGCCAAAACCAGGTCGCGACTCGCATGTGCCTGACTTCTAAGCGCTGGTAGCCGATCCATGCGCCTCCAGCCCCAAAATTTGAATCTCGGGCTACCGCACCCGTTCGTGCGGTAAAGTACGCGCCTGCTGGCACCGCGACACCCTGCCGAGACATCGTACACCCCGCCCCCCCCCCCCCCTCCCTCCGCCGGCGGCGCAGCGTGACGTGGCAGCCAGACGGGCGGGGCGGGGCCGGGCGGCCGCGCAGAACAGGGCGCGCGTGCGCCCGGGCGTGACTCACCGGCCCGAGCTGGACAGACAGCGTCCCTGGCCGGGGGGGGGGGGGGGGGGAGTGGGTCGAACGTCGGGCTCTTCGGTTCGGCGGGGACGACCGTGCCGCGGTGACGTCAGGGGTCGCCGCTGGGCCGATGGCCGCTGTCGGGCCGAAGCAGCCACTGACTTCGAGGTGTGAACTGGAAGAGCTCAAGCGACTCAGGCCAGATGGTGAGAGTCGCCACATCTGGCATGAGTCGCTGGAGATTTTAATTCCGCCCACTTAAAGGCCTTCGAGTCACGTTCCAACGCCATTTTCGACACCCGATAAGCAAACCAATCGTAGCGCATTTCATCATTTCATCACCTGAATGAAAATACTATCTAGAGTAAGCGGCGGCCTACATCTATCGAAGAAAATACGAAAATTCAACCGAGAATTTACTCCATTGAAAGTGTTCGGCTAATCGGCGCCTATTTGCATGCTGTAGCACGGCTGTTAAATGCAAAGGATACACTCTCACTCATATCGTACCCGTAATTCATATTTTGAGCTGCCACGGACAGCTCAACTGATAGTGTTGACCCATCTGAAAATTGAGAATTGTAGTTTTACAATGTTCTACCTAACAACATGTTAACAGCTGTTCGTCGGCTGATCTAAAATGCTGGTCCCGTTGCAGCAGAAATGGATTGCCGACAAAGTCCGGGCTTGAAGGGGATTATCGCTTACAGTTATACCGGAGGCCCTCCTTGGGCCCCTAGCAGAGGATGCCTGCAAAGCACGGCCGCTCCCCCGGCTTTCGCGAGAGCACCTGCTGCAGCCCACCACGCCTTAAGTCAATCCGGCGTACTGCAATGCAAGCCTGCAATCATTTCCAATATGTCCGTCGCCCCGGCAAGCGAGGGAAGAGCGGAGGCGAGCCGCCTCCTCCCTGACCCGTGAGCGGCGGCGCCCCTGTTGATAGGGGCACCTCCCCGTCTAATGCCAGCACCGCTGGCCGGGGACGGCCGTAAACCTCCAGCGGCCGCTGATCATCCCCAGACCGCGGCCCGCCCACCGGGCCGTCGCCCACGCGGCCGGCTCGTCAGCCAGCGCGGCGCGCCGCGGCGCCCCCAACAGCGCCCCGCCGGCGAGGGGCGCGGCCCGTGACCTCAGCGGGCTCGGGTCACGACCGGCACCCGCGCCGGGGCGCAGCGGGCGGCGCCGTCGGTGATCAGAGGGACGGAGAAGCGCGCTGACGCGGCCTGACCGGCCGGCCCGGTGCGCCGGCCCCGATTCCCACGCGCCTCCATCCGCCCGCGCCGCCCCCGCCGCCGCGCGCGGCCAGCGGGTGGCCCATAGGGCCGCCGGCTCGGCACGCTCGGCAACGGGCCAACGTGGACAGACGGAACAGTTCTGCCCAGTGGGTCGGGGTCGAGGTGCGCTGTGCGCGGCATGGTGTCTGGAGGCCGAGGTCGTCTGTGCGTGATCCAGGTGCTGTGGCGGAGGCACGCCCACGTACCGCGCGCGCCGGGTCGGGTTCAGTACGTGAGTGGACGGAGGTCTAGTGGGGGGGGGGGGGGGGGGGCGGCTCCTGAGAGCCTCAGCTCCAGCCGGAAATGAGACCCCCATCTTGGAACGAGTCAACACTGAGATCACTCAAAAAGGTCACAGGTTTATGACTCACGGAATATTCCGATCTGGCACCGTAGACGCGCCGCAATTTAAATATTCCATGGGCCTGCCTCTTTACACAGCAAAAAGTTCTGACATTATTTATGCTTATGTCCAGACTGCAAATAATGCACACGTTACGCTCAATAATGTATAAGGTGCGGCGTAGCGTTGCCATTGCTGCAAGAATTTCAAGACATGTATGCCCTGCATCCGAGCGCCTCGAGTTCAGCGCACGGTGGCCAGTAATTCCAGCGCATGAAGAGACATGTCAGAGGACATTCACATGCTGCACTGACAATTTCACGCCACGCAAAATTTCACAAGTTGCAGGCATAAAATTCCCCCAATTTGGTCTGAAGTGAGTTCGACGCACACCTGCCGCAGGTTCGCCGCTTCGATGTCACTTAAGCGTGCGGCGAAGTGGACGAAATTTGTGCGGCCTAATGCTCAGCCAGTGTCCCAGCTTGCACTATTGCCATTTGCTATTGCCATTTGAGTTGCCATTTGAGTCAAATTAAGCGCATAATGGCGTGTTCACGTCCCCAGTCCGACACATACACAACGTTCTTGACAACCACATTTGGACGCCGGCCGAGTCTAACGGTTCCAGACATCGATTCCTGCGTTCCGCTCTGGACTCCGGTCAATCCGATTCCCGCAATCCGCCCTGGACTCCGGACAATCCGATTCCTACAATCCGCTCTGGAATCCGGTCAATGCGATTCCCGCGATCCGCTCTGGACTCCGGTCAATCCAATTCCCGCGATCCGCTCCGGACTCCGGTCAATCCGATGCCCGCGATCCGCCATGGATTCCGGTCAATCCGATTCCCACGATCCGCTCTGGACTCCAGTCAATCCGATTCCCGCGATCCTCTCTGGACTCCGGTCGATCCGATTCCCACGATCCGCTCTAGACTCCGGTCAATCCGATTCGGACAGCCCCGGCAGCGGGTCCTTGATGACGTCAGCGATACCCAGAGACGTCGACTGATCCTCACCGAGCAGCAGAGAGGGCCTATTGGAGCCGTGTACTTCCGGTTGAACTAGACACAATCATCGCTGCCATGTGCGAATGCAGATCAGCGGTGCAGTGTCCAAATCAGGCAAAACTGCTCGCACAACCACACGGTTGCGTTTTACGTAGAACACACCAGCCACTCAGGCTGTGGCCGTCTAATGTAAAGCGTTGAAACGATGGTAGCTTGTGTTTGCATGTCACGTGTTGTCACATTACCTTTTCTGAGTGTCAGCATCAGAAATATAACGGCATGTCTCTTCTTGTCCTTATGACACATGGTACGACTAAAAGATTATAGAAATCGGCCATTTCCATATCAAAGAAGCGAATGACTCGGTCCTTTCTGCGCGGCCGCCATGCTCGCAACGGCCGCGTGACAGTCTGCTCCATACAAGGCATGGAGAGCGCCAACCCCGCCCACACGCGCGCCGGCAGCAGGGACGAACCCGCCGCGCAGGGCCCGATGCGCGGCCAATGTGGCGCGGTCCAGCGGCCGGCCGGCGCCGCTGGACCCGCGCCGCCAGCTGATCACGGCCGTCATCGCGCACGACAAGTTCCGCGAAAGGTGGCCACGTGACGCAGCCAACCCGTTTTCTCAGGACTTCAACTGCGGCCTGAGCACCGTCGCACGAGAGATCTTGCCGATGACATTCTCGAAGTTCGAACGGCGTAAAAAGGCGGCCGTACGACACCGGGCGCCGTTTGAGCGGCCGCCGGGCGCGATGCATGGTCACGCGCGAGGCGACCCGAGTCCAACGGGCACGTGCTTCACGTCTGTTTACAGGAGCGTGACCGGGCGACGGTTGGTAGGCGATGGGGCCCTTCCAGCGCCGCCCGCTGGCGGCCGGGAGCGCGCCAGCCGCCAGCTGGACCCTCCCGCCGCCTGTCCCCGCCGCCACACGCGGTGACTCACCTGGAATCTGGCCCGGCACCACCAAAAAAACACCTACTCCGTCGCTCCGGCCGCCGCTGACACCGGGGCTCGCTTGCAGCCACGCACACGTCTCGCCTCAGCGCAGTGGTCTCCAGAGGAGAACTCGTCGCTGTGCAGTCAGGTGCTCCTCGCCAGGGTTCTCATCGCACCGCGCTTACCCCCGACATCCGACACCGCCGCCCCGTCAGCGGCAACACTGCGGCGGCGTCGGCTGGCCGGCTAGCCAGCCCCGTCCTGGCTCGTACCGATCGTGCCACGCCCGGCAGTCGCGGCGGTACTAAGTCGGCCGGTCGATTCGCCCGGTGAAACAGCTGATTTCAGGCGGCGCCCGTCTAGCGGTGTGCTTTGGATGCGCAGCTGCAATTGTGACTGCCGCCACATGGAAAGGGGGAGGGAGTGGGTCTCCAACTTCTGCGGAATTAAGCATAACGTCTAAAGCATGGCATGAAGAGAATAATTCTTTTAAAAAGCTAGATGTGCCGACCACTTGTGCCCGAGGCAGTCACTGCCTTGACTGGAATCCATAGGAAACGAGCTGGGATGCCCTCAACACTGATTTGTGGCCTGTGTCGTATTCACTTTATCTAAATAACGATCCACTTTGCGGCCAGGCTGGTGCCGGGGGTGCGGTGCGACGCTCTGGAAATATCAACCACACCAGCGCTGGAATCGTTACGTTGGCGTGGACTGGAGGAGAGGTGCGCCAGCATGCTTGCATCTTAGCGCAAAGAGCCTTGACCAACAATTTGTCCCCTACAAGTAAGGTTATGTCTGTCAGCCATGCTCAGGTGTCGCTGTGAGGGACCCTTGCCGTGGAAGATAGTATGCTGAAGCTCCCGAGATGTGGGCGTGGGTTAAGGTTTTCTCATTATAAGGCTAGGCACTGTCAAATTATTGCACTATTCGCAAGTGTGTAGCTCATACTTGACTATAAGCATCATCCAATTCACGTGGTTTTGATTTTTGGCAGGCCGTCATTGGTTTTAATTCCTGTTGTTTTCCTTTCGTTGCAAGCAGAGGTGAAGAATGCGACATGGTAAGTGTGGCACCGACCACGTTGCAATCCATCAAAATTATCATCACTTTAGCATATGCCGGCGGAAAAATGCGCATTCTGGCAGTTTTGCTTTCAGAAATGCAAGATTGTTTCACCTTAGGTTGTACGGTTGTACGACTCCCGGGTGCTGATGGCGTAGGCGTTAACCACTGCGCGTCTGGGGAACCTGAGGTACGGGGTTCGATTTTCCGCGGTGCCCGCCATTCCTGTCAGGGTGAGAGCCAGCCGCCACCATACAGCCTTAGCAGCTGAATGCGTTATGAAGCTCATAAGACGACGGTTATACCAGTTAACCAAACTTGCTATGAGGTCCATCCAGATTTGTTTTTTGTTGGGGAATTAGCCACGAGACTAACGGACCCGTGAGAGGTACGCCTACGCATAGTCATCATTTCTGAAGTCAGCGCAAAGCACCGAGACCGAGACCGGGACCAAGACCGAGACCGAGACCGAGACCGGGACCGCGACTGAGAGTGAGATCGACACCGAGATCGAGACCAAGACCACGACTGAGACTGAGACCGACACCGACACCGACACCGAGACTGAGACCGAGACCGAGACCGAGACGGAGACCGAGACAGAGAGTGAGACCGAGGTCGAGACCGGCCGAGACCAGGACCGAGATCAAGACTAAAACTGAGACCGAGACCACGGACACGGATATCACGGAGACAGACTCCGCGACTGGGATAGAGACCGAGGTCAAGACCAATATCACGGAGACCGATCTCGAAACCGAGATCAAGACCGCGGAGACCCAGAGGCGCCCGGAAGTGCCGCGCGCTGCGATACAAATTCGCTGAACCCGCGTACACGCACTCATTTCGTAGAATCGCAGACTCTCAGACCGAGAAGGTGTAAGGTTTCACTTCCGCACCAGGTTCAGATTGCCTGGTCTGCCGTACGTGCGGTGGATGCTTGGCTGCGTTGGTCAGACCTGTAGTGCTGATGACGTCATTTTGGCTGTCACGAGGCCGGCTGTTGACCGTGGTAGGATCGACCCAACAAGGCAAGGACGATGCGCTAAAGCCGGAACTGATTCGACGACAGCCGCACTCAAATTTCTGGACGCAGCATGCAATCGAGTCATTTAAGTGAGCTGAATGTAATCGACATAGCGATCACAAATTAAGATGATCTTTTGAAAACTTAATTACGCTGTGTGCAATGACATCTCCACGGCTCAGTCTGACGGAGGGGGGGGGGGGGGGGGAAGTAGCGAAGGCTGTCTAAAACGTTTCTTTCCATTTGACGCCATGGACGAACAGTAGCATTTTGGCAAAGCTGGGCTCACCCTCCCCCCGCCCCTGGGCCGAGGCTGTCACCGCAGTAAGTGAAATACGTAGTACATCGCAGTTACCCTCTGCCGTTATTAGCATCGATTCCACGACGAATATGTAGAAGCGGTACTTCATTACGGCAGCGCTGTTGTTCAGTGTCGCGGCCGAAGACAGAGCGCCCATGCGGCAGCACGAGCACTGGGTCGATTTACATTTGCTGGGATGAAGAATCATTTAGAATCACAGCCTACTCCATCACGGGAAAACAGCTTAGAGGGAATTTGTCCGATTCTACCGATTCTTTTCAAGCTATTGGGACTAAATTAAAGGAAAAGCTACTACTCAAGTAATCTGGTTAGATCATTTTTTAGACTTATCAAGCGAACGCATGTACGCTAACCAACAATAATAAACGAGTTTCCCATCCGGTGAAATCCCAATCACTGCCAACGCTCCAGAAAAACGTGGGCAACTCAAACACAGCCGTGTAAATCCGAGTTAATCTCCCATCCCACTGCCACGCAAGCTTCCTGCCCAACAGCTCTCGCACACATTCAGAAACATCCAGCATTGTCACTCGGACGTCTATCGATGAAAGCCAAATGCAACGCAACATGCCGTCATGCGCAACGAAACACGCGCGACATAACGTTCCGTCACGATAGCCCAGTTGCCACCCGTTAGTCGTTGCCTCCCAAAACCCAGCCGTAAATAGGCGGGTTCAATTTGCTTTTAAGCGCTCACAGCTTACCCCCAACTGGGACAGGCTGCAGCTGAAGACGGTGGCTGGCAGTGGCAGTGCGAGGTGACGTCAGAGGGTAGGGCCGGGTGGGCTTGCCGCGAATCACGGCAAGTTATGCTTCCGCCTTAAGTCTTGTCGTTGACCTTGAGTTTCACAGTCGGAAAGTAAGGCGAGGACTCGCGCAGCTGGAGCCACCTATTGTGTGTCATGCTCCCACAGGTCCATCCAACCAAGAGGCTCGACGAAATCGTCGAAACGGCCAGTTGCTGCATTCATCGGCTTTCGGGGATACTAAGACATGTATTATTACGGGTGAACAGCATTGGAGCTTGCGGGGAGCCTGAATCCGTTCTTGGGTCACTTGAGATTTGCTACCAAATATACTTACCATGAGAAATTAGCGCGTTCATATGCTTTAACGACGCCCGGATTCGGGCCAACCACGTTAGGCTCTCGAACAACTGACATAAGCGTTCAACGTTGGCCGCTGGCGTCGCATAACTGACGTGTCGTGACGCGGTCACATGATGGCCATCACCGAGTTATTGTCGAAGCCCGAGCAATCTTAAGCGCCCAAGGTGTTTTAGACCACCAACAGCTACATTTTAGAACCAACAAGCCGTTGTGCTCTGATCAGCGTCCTGCAGATATGGCTTTGAAGTGGTTGGCTGGTGTATTAGAAGCATGGATGCGTACAATGTTCACTGCTATGATGTCGATTTCCCAGTGAAGTATTTTCGATGTGCCACCAAGTTGTGAGACAAAAAACGGGTTTCACAATGCCAAAAGGACACCCCAGCACATGCAACAGTCTTGGCACACATTTACACTTGAAAACGCAACCGGCAGACGACGCGAGGGGCACGCTGGAAGCCTGCCGACCCCACTCTCTCTTCACAACGGCGCCTCTCACCAGAGCCGGCGCCGGCAGCGACACATCCTCACGGCCGAGGAGCCTCCCCACGCGGGCGGTCAGTCGCCCGTCCCGCGTCCAGACCGCGGCGCGCAGGACCGGCAGCACCAAGGGTCAGAGTCCAACGCCCGCCCGGCGGCGCGCGGCGCACCCGAGGTCCGACCGCGGCGGAGCGTGTGACGCAGGCTGGACCCAGTGCGGAGGGAACACCGGCATGACCCGCACCGTGATGGACTCAGCGTCGCCTTCAGCGCGATGGCGAGGGCTCCCGCTCTGATCCTCTCGCGGGGCAATCTCGTCGTCGCACGCCCGCGCCCACGTGCGCACATGCGCTGGGCCGGCCTGAGCACAGGCCACCTTCCCGGGCGCCATCTCCGACGCTCCCCTCTCATCTCCACCTCAGCTCCGCCCCCCGCGCCCCTCCCTGCGCCGTCGTCAGAGGTCGGCGGCGCGCGCACTGACGTGCCTGCGCACGGCGCGGTTCAGGATGGTGTGCACGTCTCGACACGCCGTCTCGGCCACATCCAGCAGCTCGGGCAGCTTGTCCACGTGGAAGCGCTGGCTCATCTCGAGCAGCGGCAGCCGGCCGGAGCCGGCAGCAGCGCGGCCGTCAGCTCGGGCGCGCCGCTCGCCTCGCTCGAGCTCAGGTCCACCAGCGGCCGCTCGCGCAGCACCGACGCCGAGCACGCGCACACGTAGTCCTTGAGCGCCACGCCGGCGGTCGATCAGCGCCAGCGCCGCCGCGTTCACGCACGTGGCGTAATGGCCGCCGTCCGCCTGCCGGGGGAGACGCGGTCAGCACCACGGCCGCAGGCGGAGGGGAAGGGGAGACACAGCAGCGGGCGAGGGAAAAAGGCGTGTTTGACGTGTGTACGAATGGTAGTATTGTGCAGCTTCTTCACGTCATCGGGTGGGACACAAGTGGCGGTTTTGAGATGCAAAACACGACCCACTAGCAGCTCAGGAGGGCCATTATCGCGCGTGGATTGCACTGCAAACCTGAAACCTGACGCCACCATGACCGGCTCAATGGTGCGACGGCCCCCTAACTCACTGCGGCATAGGACACCAGCCGACGAGAACTACGCCATCTGCAATGCTTTCAACTTGCAAGTCAACCCTGAGACAATGAAGTGCGAACAGGCCTGAAGCGACGAGCGCCGTCCGGGATCAGGCCGAGAAACCGCACCATACGGAGGGCCAGCTTCTGTGCCGGCCGCAGCCACCCCGCCGCGGGCCCGGCAGGCCGCCGCCGACGCCGGCGCGCCCGATAGTAGCCGCCCCACCGCTCACCTGCAGCACCTGCACGTAGACGTCGATCTGGGAGCGCGGGTAGAGCGCCACTTGGACGACGCTCTCCAGCGTGTTCTGCAGCAGGGCGGTGAGCTCGAGCGAGCGGCGGTCGCCGCCGGCGCGCCGCTGCCGCTCCCAGCCGCTGAACACCGCCTGGCTGTACTGGCAGTTGATGGCGGCCGCGTCGTGCCGCCGCTGGCTGGCGCGCGCCTCGTGCGGCCCGTACACGGCCGCCAGCACCTGCGACACACAGCTGTTATAGGGCGGGACGCTGGACGGAGGGTCCTCGCTGGACGGCACCGATGTGCATGGTGCTTTGCGACTTCGCAAAGGATGGCAGTCAGTAAAAGACGTAAGTGCGTAAGTATTGCGTAAGTGCGAAGCCCATGATGGCTCTCATTCACCACACACTACTACACACGTGCCAGGGCTTTACACCGAATAGCACTTGCATGCTATCATAACGATATACAAACTGAAGCTTCAAATACGTCAAAGGGCGGCGCACCAAACCTCGCAATATGCAGTGAGCACGGCAGTGCCAAGACGCATAGGGCAGCCCGCCGCACACATATACAGCACACATAGGACACCACAGGTCCGCCATTGCCGGACCGTACCTTGGTGTTCCCCTGCTCCAGGTAGGCGCTGCCGTCGGCGCGCGAGAACACGCCCAGGCGACACTCGATGTTGCGCAGCTCGTGCGCGCGCCGGCCGTCCACGCGCAGCCCCTGCTCGGACAGCAGCTCCAGGCCGGACATGGTGGCTACTGGCGGAGGGGCGCCGGCGACGTGTTACACCGGGCGCGAGGGGTATTCAGACATACAGCTGCCAGAGGCGACGGCGGGTGTCACAGCGGGGACGAGCGATACGCACGCACTCGTGGTGAGTCGGCAGGGTGCGCTGAAGCGAAACGACTGATGCTGGCTGCATGTCCTGGACCCAATGAAATGTTTACAAGGAGTATGTCAGCACAAATTGTTACATCAACAGAAACTTTTAACAAACTTATCACTATAAAAGCAAGCTTTGAACATGACCTATGTTTGCAATATACGATACAAGCATTTGCACAGCCCTACCAGTTATGACAGATGGAAATAAGGTGTGGATATCATATCTTAAACAGCACTGTAACCAGGAATCAAATACAAGTTAACAATATACTGCCAGAGACAAGTGTACAAGAATACAGAAGAAACAACCAAAACAGGTGTGCATAATGATATTATGTTTAATCAACACACATAACTTATCAAGCCACCTGGCAGTGAGTTGAAATACTTCACATGGGTCTGTCTGTCTGCCACAGTGGCAATACTGACAGGACCAGTCTGGCAGTGACTGGCATCATAAAGACTTTTCATGATGTAATCAAATGATGATGTATTGCAAATAATATCTACTAAACAGTATAATTGTGTTGTTCTAGAACAGTTTTTTTACACTTCAAAGCATACTTATAGTGACAATTGAGCTTTGACATAATATTTGATGCTTGCCACAAGGTCTCAAAGTAAAAAACATTCCCTTTGATTGAAATTTGACACAGGTGCATACAATATTGAACAGCAAGAGGTGGGGTACAACATGAGCATGAAATACCATGTCTAAAGGCCCATACAATTTTACAAAATCAGCTCAACATGTGGCTGCAATTAAGAGCAGTGGCATGACAATTTGGAGTTAAATGAATGAAGCCATCAAACTCAACACATGACTAGCATTAAGGAAAGTGATATATCAATTTGGAGTTAAATGACATACATCAAACCTTGTAAGGGAAAATATGGATTAGTATCTAACCTTATGAAAACATTAGAGCTATCAGCAACACATTGTCCTTTACTCCATAAAAAGTCATTGCCATCCATCACACACATAGCCTAGTCACACAACAAGCTGTAATTTATAAAATAAAGTATATATCAGTCATCCAGTTCAAATAATGCTAACCAAATTTAAGCACATGTCTCAGCTAATCCGCCTTCATGCAGAGCAAATAAAATGTTATCTAATTTGGTTGTTAAGTAGTTAAATGTGACTAAAAAGGTTACAACATTACACTTTCAGCTGATCAACACCACTGATAAAGAGATTGTACATGCCTACAATAAAAATCATTACACGACAGAAAGGAACGTTTTCCATCATGTTTTTTCCATTTTGCATGAGATACTCAATCATCTGACCAGTGGAAAAAAGGATACAAATCATAGCTACCAACAGGTACCTGATTTATTTCTTCCTATTGAAACCTCATACAGCAGGCTGATAATATATAAAGGAAAGATATGAGATTGGCATCAAGTTACCAGAAACAATCTACCTGCATAGTAAAATTTAGACAAGGCAACAGGATCAGTCATATACCAACCAAAGAAACATTCAAAACTCGTGCCATCAATACCATTACCATCTGCTGGTTCATTTTGGTCAGGTCAGTTCACACTTGATACAGCCCAGAGTTTGGCACATGTGCATTATCAATTTCAGCACAAGATGGTAGTTTCAAAGATTTGCATGTTGGAAAGGCAAACCTGGGAAAACATTTTCATGAATACTTTATGCACAAAAATACAAAGTTTCATCCAATTTAGCCTCATGAGTATGTGCATGCATGTCAACCATGGATTCAGCTCACTTCAGTATCTGGCGCAATGGACAAATTTTAAGGGCTATATTCTGTCCTCTCCCCCAATTCTGCTAAGTTATGCCCCTGTAAATTTTGATTGGTATTCCCCTCCCTAACGCGAAAGTCCAATCCTCTGATCAATTACGGAACACAAGAAGTTAAGCCTGTGCTGTTCAAAACAGGTTCACCGGTGAGCTCCCAAACACGTTTGATTGTGTTTCTTCTCCGTGCACGAAGCCGAGAAATGAAAGTATATTACCACCCAACTGACAAGGTGGCGCTGTACCTGTACGGATCCCTCAACTATTTGCCTCAGGTAGTTCCGCAGAACAAATTCAATACGCCCGCTGCACAGCAACACACCGACACCTCAAATTCCACCAGACACAGAGTGACACGGGCCACGCTAAAATTCTCGTGCCAAGGCCGTCACTGTCGGCAGTGCGCCAGACATGCAGCACGAATTTGCTGCCACTCTTGCGATGGTAAAGGATTCTTCGGTTATTTTCCAGGTTGGGCCGCTCAAGCGTGTTTTGCGCTCCAGTTTCTGGCTGACTGGCTGGCCATGGCTGAAGCGTGCTGGATAAGTGTTGGGTAATCAACGACGCGCTCAAGCTTGACCACATGTTGTCACCAACTTTCACTGCAACGGCTGCGCGGGTGACCGATGAAAAACTAGGGCGGTAAGACACGTCTACCACACGGCGGGATCACGATGGCCGTAGAGAAGATCCATGGCGGTGGCGGCGTCATGGCTTTACGAGGATCCAAAGTTGTCTGCAGCCATTTTCCTACCAGCGGGTTTTGAATGTAACTTTTTCATGCATAAGAAGGACCAATTCGGCACCGGTGCAGTAAGTTTTGCCTACCGAGAACCTTGATCAAAAGTTATATCGAACAAACAATTCACATCATTTAGCGTATTAACGCTCCGGACAGCGCCCCAGTACCCGTTAAAATGCCGCTCACGCCACTTTCTGTAGGTACCGGCATGAAAACTATTTTTTCCCTGCTGTCCCTACTTATCGGGATATAGCGCTCCCAGGAGCACACTCAGTTGTCAAGATGACTGACATCTGAGCTACCAAATCAGTTGCAAGACTTGTTTGCGATTGAGAAAAAGACATGATATCGCTGACCGAGTGGTGCAAGGTCAGGCCATAATAACAAGTAAAAACAATGCGGTGCCAATAATCTACAGCAATAAATAGAAAAGAGGAAAAGGAGCCAATAGTCCAAACAGCGGTGAAGTGATTTAGAGCGACGGGCGATAAGAAAGCACAAAACGCATGATCATTAGGGATAAAAGAACGTTCGCCGCCAAAATTAATTACGAGACAGGTCGAGCCTCTTGAAAAGCCAATGCATGCACTAGCACATACCGTGGCTGATTTTAAACTACCAACTTATCGACAAACGCACATGCCACGGAATACACAAGCCAGCACACTACCTCAGCCTCTCAATAAACGCATGCGTCACGAGATGCACGAGATAACGCGTTGCCTCAGCGCACCAATAAATGTGAGCTAACGCACCTAGCCTTTCAATAACCGCATGTGTTACGAGATGCATGAGCTAGCAGACTACCTTAGCCTCTCAATAAACGCATTTTTACGACATGCATGAACTAACGCACTAACTCATCCTATCAATAAACGCATGTGTCAGGAGATACATGAGCTAACGCATTTCCTCGGCCTATCAAAAAACGCATGTGCCACGAGATGCGCGACCTTACGCATCATACGGACGATCCGCTCCATCCTCGCTTTCACATGCATGCCTCAAACATATGGGGCGGCGCTGGCACAACGTGAACATATAAAAGCCAATTCTTCTAACGCTCATTTCTATGGGCACAGACTGTGTGATGAACTTCTCTCGGCACTAGTTTTTTCGTTTTATAGCGTGATTAGAAGAAGGCATGGACAACACCGATCATTCTGCAACGAGCGCATGTCTTTAAATGAATTCTGACAGATTATGCGGGTTTGGACAACACCGATTGTGCTCCAGGGTGCACAGCTAATCAAAGGAACCCCGACAAAGAGCTTCTGCGAATAAAAACACTTCGAACGGTACGAGTTATCCTATTGCCAACTATCCATGGAAATAAATTTGAACGGTAACCTAGCGTGTAAAAACACGATGCAAACACAGAAGCGCTCGCCAGTTAGCCTAACTCAGAGAAGATCGACACAAAGGGATGACAGCGGGTTTTCTTAAAGAGGACGCTGACCAAATATGAAACAATTATTTTCAACGTGGTGACTCGTATACATTACACATATTTGGTGGGGTATTCATAAGCAAAGCGGACAGATCTTAGTCATATTTCCGGCAATCCAAAAATTTTCAGCTCGATGCACCACTCCGACACCTTTTCAGTTTCGCGCCATTTTAGTTTTATGTCATAGACTCCGGAGTAACAGAGACGCTCAGGCATCTACACTTCTCCGGGCTATTCGCACGCACGCACAGACCGATACAATGGCAACAACCTCCGCAACCAACGATCCAGATTCAAAAGGTCAAACAGACTAGTGAACAATTCAGTGCCTCGCCCATCCAGAGCAGGTCTGGCTGGGCGTGGATTGACGTGTCTCGAGGGCCTCGAAGCTACTGAGGATAAAACCCGGTCACCCGCTTCGAACAAAGAACGTCTATCGATCTACAAGGGCCTCTGTTCAGATGCAAAATTGCTAATGCCGCAGTAAATCCTAATTTTATGGGGAGAGTCAACTCAAAACAGCGAAGGCGGGGAGGGAAGAGGTCAGCATGACTCACGACGCGACGGTCTCACCCTTCCGGCAGCAATCCCCAATCAATTCCAATCACAGATGCTTCAGCTAATTGTGGTGATCGAGGTTCGATTAAGGATTTCGACAGTTGCAGCGACTGCGCAGCTCATTCGTGCGTTTTCCGTGGTCCGGCGATGGCGGGCGGCCGCCAGCCTCGCGTGCCGCCCACGGTCCTGCTGGTGGTGACGCGCATACACTCACACAATGCCAGTTCCGGTTCCGATCAGCGATCGATGTCAACTGCAGAGCTTGAGCTTGTGGTTAAGGATCTCGGCGGCCAGAGCTTGAGCCAATGATTAAGGATCTCGGCGGCCAGAACTTGAGCCAATGATTAAGGATCTCGGCGGCCAGAACTTGAGCCAATGATTAAGGATCTCGGCGGCCAGAACTTGAGCCAATGATTAAGGATCTCGGCGGCCAGAGCTTGAGCCAATGATTAAGGATCTCGGCGGCCAGAACTTGAGCAAATGATTTACGATATTGGAAGTCAGAACCTGAGCCAGTGACTTACGACATCGGCGGTCAGAACTTGAGCCAATCATTAAGGATCTCGGCGGCCAGAACTTGAGCCAACGATTACGAATCTCGGCGGCGGCGGCGTCTTTCGAGCGCGCCGCGGGCTCCCGTAGCCCTTGGCCCGGCGGTGGCGGGCGGCATAACGCACTTCATAAAAATGCGTTATGCATGACATATTGGCAATAGAATATTGCTCCGGCATACCAGGTTTGTAAATGATTTAACTCCGCGGGAATGGAATCCATTCTTATTCAAACAATTGGGAGCCAATCAAGATTTGAGTCAAACATATTTTTGAAATGGCTCGAATCAGTTGTTCATTTAAGCCAATTGGCATCGCTGACTCTAGGTCTCATTCAGACGATAAAATAGGGTCTGAACTCTTAATCATGATATCACGAAACTTATTCCAATCGAAACGAGCAGTTTTAATTCAAGCACTTGTACTAACATCGCCAATTTGGGGTGAAGTTTCCTTCCCATCCAGTGCGGTCGAGAGCGAGAAGGGCTGGACCAGAAAACATGTAGGAATTCAAATCCGAAGGAAAGCTGGTTTTGATGTGCATTATGAGAGCAGGTTTGACCATTCTTTATTGCTCAGCCCCCCGTCCCACCTCAATTCATTTTGCGAAAGCACCGTAAAGCGCATACCGTCAGTGAGATAAAGACATAAGGACACAAAGATATCCGGCCAGCAAAGGGCCGCGGGGACCCATAGGCTGGCCTACCTCAGGTGCCATACATATCCTCAAAACTTATCAAATGACATGCATAAATAAAACTATAAATGGGATATCTAGACCAATAGAACTTGTCCCAGCGGTTTTTGAATGTTCCTAGAGACGGACTTCCTATAACTTCGTTTGTCAGCCCATTCTAATGGTTCACTACTCTTTGAATAAATGGCATCTGTCTCTTCATAGTTGTACTCCTACTTTTTGCTAAATGAAACTGGTTTCCTCCATGCCTCGGCCTAATTCCAATGCTCCATGTAGTTCTACCTTATTTATTCCTTTCATAATCTTATATACCTCTATCAGATCCCATCTAAGTCTGCTATATTTCGGTTAATGCAAATTCAAGCCCCTAAGTCTATCCTTATATTCTAATTGTGCTTCAATATTTTTATATTCGGTGATAGAGTTGCTAACGTTTTACTGCATTTATCAATCATCTGCACCACAGCGTGTTTATCAAAAGATTCTGGCATACAGTTTATGTCATCGTGTACGAAAGGAAAAGGTTACGTTCCCCGAGACATCATGCGTTGGTTTACGGATTGTATATTTATGGGATGAAAGTTTCAGTAAATATATCAAAATATCTGCAAGCGTGTATGCTTTATCTATGCCTTTTCCTCTTCCCAAAATATTTTTCACACTTGCAATGTAACCCGAACAATCTTTGTGTTCATGCGTCAAAGTCTGCTGCATGTTTGGATTACATCCAGCCAGGTTTCCAACATAAGCAAGCAATTTTGTTATCCATCCTGCTGCTATTTTTTAAACTTTCGAACAGTTATCCTTTGAATGCTCAACTGTACTTATAATTCGTCGCTAATTCAAATTCATTTCTTTCTGATTGAGCTCATTCAAGCCTCGAGCAGCGAATCAAATCTTACTCAGAATAACTACTGAGGCTACAGATTCTAATCAACCTCGCTCCACGAATAATATGAAGGATTCTTGAACCAATTCTGCATTTGAATCGAATCAAGCACAAGTCTGCCAATGACCAAGCACACAAGCAGTCCTGAACACGGAAAGCGCCATACATTGCACACGAATTCCTACCATAGCTCTGAATAGTGAATCGACGCCATAATTGTATCGATAAAAAATCAAGAGTGCATTACCGACGCAACAGTATCAACGCCGCCACTGCGTACCCGCACCGGGTTTAATGCTCATCAAATACCGACCAGGAGGACACGCTTCCGGCGACAGATAGACCAAACCGACACCGCCCGGCTCATCCGCACACCATGGCACACATCTGCCAGAGCCAATGTTCGGGTCTTTGCAGCTTTGTTGGTGAGAGTGCGTTTCCATTCACGTCGGAC